CTCTTCGTCTTACAGAGCTGTTACTAGGGAGATCAAATAATTGTGCGATAAAATGAAGGAGTCATGTAGTACGGGCAAGAAAAATATTTTTACCTGGGAAACATGAAGGGAAGAAACAACTTGGGAGACCCAGTCATAGATGGGAAAACAGTGGCGTACTCAACACGTTCCTCAAGACTGCAAACACGCCTAAAATGGCCCACACAAAAATAGGATGTGACTGGATTAAACTGGCTCAGGACGGGTCCAGTGGCAGGTTCCTGTAAACAACTTTCGAGTTCCATAAAGTATGAGGAATTTCCTGATCAGCTGAGAGACTATCAGCATCTCAAGGATTCTGCTGTACGGTGTTAGAAACCAACCTCCGAGTCTCTGTTCTTTAATCGAGATGCATAAACTAAACGCATAATCGGAAGGTTCAACGAGTTAAAATGTCTGAAGTTCTGAACATATTAGTAAGTAAATTGGTATTATGGTCTACACTAAAAGCTATCTGTCGAATGGTACTGTCCTTTGTATCTGCCTGTTGTTACTACTTCATACGAGCCTCAAATCGAACAGTTAAATGTTAAATTTTAGTATTAAAATAAATTCATAAAGCAGTAAAGAAAATCCGTAGTATTGAATTAAATTCGTATTTCATCCTAGCCGTTTCGGAAATAAAATTTTCAACCACTTTCTTATTATTTCGATGTAATACACATAATGGATGCCCCTGGATTCATAGACGATATTTCTGTGTCTTTCTGCATGCAGGCTTACTCAAATACAGCTGGCTCAGTCACTTCCATGTGTTCACGACTCTGTATAAGCAAAACTAAATTCTTAAACTTAGAATCAGCAAACACATGTTTTGCACGGGCAGACGAGCGGTAATTTTAAGGCTTGGTTAACTGTACAGCGCGCCTTCGTTCCTATATGGATCGAGCCCAATATGGAGTTGCAGCAGTACAAATAAGAAGAACCAATACACGCAGAGCCGCTCTTAACGCACAGTTAACGTTCCTAGAATGTGTTCGTAATTCTGGTTGCTGTTTCCCTGAAGCTCAATCTTCTAATCGGGGGGGGGGGGGGGGTTACATTCCCGAACGACTGAAAAATGACCAAAAGAATTTATCGGTCTAAGATTTTATTCGGATGATTTCGGATGAGAGAGTAGGCGTTCCTATGACAAGTCAAGCGGAGAGTGTACGCGCGTCATCATACAAGTTTGTATAACCGAAATTTCGTAAAATGAGGACTGGCTCTTTCTTCTACCGCTGTTAAAAGATACACGCAAAGAATTCCAGAAGGGACTTTCGTTGCTGCTGATGGTAATTTGGTGGGGGAGAACATAAAGAAACAGTTTTAAAAATAAATATACATATAATTAAATATGATGGAACGTATCCAAAGTGGCAACTGTGGATATTTCAACACGTGATTATCCGTGAAACAAAAAGAATTATTAAATAAATTCTGGAAATGCTAGTTATTATTCGGGCGTATGCTGTACAAAGTTCTGAAGATCAGAATGCACTGACGTTCTGCCAGTACGTTTTGCACATGACATGCTTTAAGACCTAAACAGCGAGACCGAAAGACAGTTTAGTGAAAAACGGTCATAAAAGAAACAGTAGGGCGGTGTGAACTCTTTCTCCAGAATAATTATTTGGTTGTCTATCGTGGTTCTTTAGTGGTATTATAACTATTTCGAAATCATGAAAATACAAAATAACAAACGAAGTGAAATTACCTTTAATAAATGGAAACTGCTTTAAGGAAAAATGTAAGAAAAAAAGAAAGCATTCGACGGAAATATTTTACATGAATATTTACTGTTTTTCTTTTCATATAATTTTATTCGTGGAATTTTATCTGAGACAGAACATTCCTTCCACTAATGGGAAATAGCTGAGCTCCACCGTCGGCAAAATATGTACAGAATGTTCTGATGGAGTGGGCACTTCAGAAAGAAAGGAAGCAAGGAAGAAAAAATAAACTCATGCTTGTGACTGAGATCATAAATACATCTCGTTTGAGCTGTACAGAATTATTACGCGTTCTGCATTAAATGGACGCATACAGAGCTGGCCATGTCTGTCTGGCTGTATGATTCAACTCCAGAACCACTGGATGGATATGGATAAAATTTGGTACGGATTTATACCTCTGGATGTTAACCTAAACCCGTACTTTTTTATTTCACACAATCGGCAATATTAATATGGTGGACGAACGAATTTGTGAGGTGGGATCGACACTAGCGCCACTTACTGTAGGGTTATACTATGATGTACGGTCACTGATTTCGAAAAATAGACAACTTTGATGTACTTATTCTGTGTAAATTATAAAACAAGAACATGAAAGTTGCATTAAGTAATATGAAGCCTCGGATTCGATCCTATGACTGATTAATTATGAGCCGAGTACAGTACCACAGACCTAACTCGCGTTCTTGTTAATTAACGGTACATGAAGTGTGCAGTTAGAAATTAAATTTTAAATAAGATAACTGACAGTTACCTCTTTTATAAATGTTTTTCTTTCCCTTAAAACAGGTCAAGAGACATTTCAACATCTCCGTCAGTTTAAATACGAAGTACGTCTGAATTTATGTTGTTCTTTCAACAATAAGTTTCCGTTAAGCAACCGAACCAGTAGAGTTTGAAACGTATGCTCATGTATGCATGTTATTATATCTATCGTCTATGGTCTATAGCTACGCACATGCTGGTGATACTTTTGTTAACCCAAAATTTGTGTAATGTATGATAGGCCTGTACAATTGGAATTCAAAATCTGCAAAGAACGCATTTGGAATCTGCGTTTTCAAGAACGGATTACACTCTTACAGTCTTATTTTGTGCTTAATCAAGTTTTTGTGTTAAAATTAAACCTGTATGAAAAGGAAGGAAAAAATGTTAGGGTCTTTTATAAACATACGCGATGTGATGTTCTCAGGGCGATGAAGATGCCGATGTTGGAGTTTGGGGTTGTAACGACGCGTAGAAAATATGCTGTCTTTTAAACAACATCGCAAATTGCGTTTTCCCTTTTATCCTAAGCAATTCCACCACCAGGAGATACTGCTAAAGTCTCTTACGTAATGCCGCGGATGTGCTGGCCGCTGCCATAACTGAACGAGGCGTTTCATGGTAGCTGATGTGATGATGACCCGCGAGAACCCGTTACACAGATGTTCAACTTCGGTCATTTGTATTCGTTTTTCTCTCTCGTTATCACTTATACCAGTTTCTGATTCTCTTCCTGATTAAAGTTTTAGAAATCCGATCAATAACGCTTCGATGAAGTTGACATTACTTTCAGCGAACTAGTAACATTTAATAGGCGTTAATTAGCGACGTGAGAAATTGATAAAGGGTAAACCGATTCAACGTGTCGAACGATACGAGACACGGATAAAATGCATGGCTGCATAACCGTCTCATTGCTAATATAAGATATGAATGTATAATAACTTAGCAGGTTACAATTTCCGGAATTCTAACGACATTTTGATAACAAAATTAAACTGTACTAAAAATATACACCCCTAAAAATATTAAACTGTACCCATGTTTTAGCACGCCATGAAGAAGTATGGCGAATAGAGGCCAAGCTCCACGTATTCTTATTTTCGGCACGTGGGAAGTGGTCAGTTTCACGCTCCGATCTCGCTTTGTTGTGGCACAGAATCTCCAGTGTCGGCTTCAGACACAGTGACGGCGAAGAGAAAAGTACGAGAACCTGCCGGGAATCGAACGCTGGTCGACAGACCCGTAGCCAGTCACTTCAATGACTGTCCAGGCTCAAATAAAACATTATTTGAACGTGAACAGCTTCAATAAGGAGTTTAAAAGCTCGTCTAAATAGTATTTATGAATACAGAAAACTACCGCCATTACAAAGATAAACGTGTTGAGGTATTTAAGTAAATAATCGTTGTTTACACTGATAATCAAATGTAAATCATAAATACAAAATGCAGAGTTACTGATTGTCAAAACAGATGGTATATAAAATTACCACTTGGCTTCAAAGCGTAACAAATGCACTTAAAAACGTTTTAAATTTCAGAAATTCCTCATAAATTATACATCCGTCTTTTCAGTCCTGCAATTCGCATCGACTTAGGTACGAAACGCAAGTACTCTGGACTTCTAAACGAACTCTTTGAAGATCGTCTGTGTCGTTTCATTCTGACAAGCGCATGGAGAATTTTTAGTCGATTAAGGGAGGTCCATTCCAATGTTCACACGAACCCGCCTCTGCGACTTATTCTGAGCCAATTGAATCCATTCCATATTAATATTATTTCCACATGTACGTCCAGGTATTCCAAGTGATCTCTTTCATCTAAATGTTCCAATTATAATGTTGGGAATTCTTTTCATCCCCTCCCCCCCTGCGTGTTATGTCTCGCCCATCTCATTACCACAATAAAATATGTTGAAAAAAAATACGAGGCTCCACATATGCAGTTCTCTCCAGCATTCTTAATTTAACGTTAATCAACTTTTAACGCAAAGACTTCGTCAAATATATTATGCACATTTCTTAATAACAATCAGCCTCGAATAATTAGCGTTGTTTCATCATTGATAATTATGCAGTAAAATACTCACTGCTCTCAACAGTCTTTGCCCTTGAAATGTGCAGAAATCAACATTTGAATTCTGTCGTTTCAGTCCAGCACCTACGCGTTATTTAACAAATCTGCTTGCACAAATACATGTATGTACTGCACATAACATTCCAGCCACTGATGCGGTAGATTCGCTTCCGGTCCTCAGCGAGGGATTGTTACTAACAATATCGCTTGAGAGATCCATTGTCATCAAATATATAAGAGGAATCTGTGTGATTTTACAGTTAACTGTTCATGAGGGAATAATTAAAATACAGTCTCACCCCATCCTGTGTGGTGCAACCCTCCAGCATCCTCATGGTCCAAGTGCTCTGAACATTGATCCACTAAAAAAATGCTTGCGCCACGTACAATCAATAAAACTTACCTTATTGTCCTGCATATCAGCAACAAGAATTATCCCAGGTGATGAAACTTTGATGCACTTTTATATATAAAACAAACGAAGGCGAATTGTAAACAATGCAAGCACGGTACACTACGACCAGTGAAACAGCAGTCGCGAAACTAACACTTAATACTCACTACTCGGCTTCTCTCGAACTATTGGCCCTCGCTGGAGTTACGCTGCTTCGCTTGGCTAGGGACTAGCCGCTGGAACGTAGCTTTCGTTACCTCTTCCGTCACCAGATGGCTTTAGTTATCTTCAGCGTGCGAACACAGGAACTGACAGAAGGACGAATTGTATTATCCAGAATGTTACACGCGTATCGTCGAAGGTGATGGATGCATAGCGAGGCTACAGAATCACCAGGCTATACGAGAATTTACGACAATCGCCCTCGTAGACCAGTAATCAAGGGGCGGTAATCTACCACTGGCACCAATGTCCTTTCAACAAGTTAACACGTTGTCAGGCAAAACTGCCAAGAAATAAAATAAATAAACAGATAATTAAAAAGAAAGAATGAGATAAACACGGGAAAAAAGGAAGAGAAGAAAAAATGACATGGTTTAATCTCATATAACAGTGTTTACGAACTGCCGGTCCACGGACCCATAGGAGTTAACAAGTAATTTTCATTGATACTGTATTGTTGCAAGAAATCTTTTACATCAGCTTTTAGTTCCATATTTGAGTAGAAACATGAACAAAATACGACACTTTACACCTGTGTTTTTGTTGGTCTTTTTTTCTATTCGTTTAATGTAATTAATAAAATGTAGAATGTAATTTTGGGGTGGGGGCCCACGGTGCCAGCGGAGATTGCACGCGCTTAGCCATGTTAATGTTACTTTTCATCTTAAGTACTTAAATCTTGCATAAGATTGAAGCTACAATCAAGTATTAATTTAAAAAGTAAGACCATAATCTGGCCATAAGAAAACACTTTCCTCGACTTACGCGCAGAAACCACCACATTGTTTCGAGATATTTTTACATGAAACCTAAACTAGGGTTCACACATACTTAAAAAAGTGACTCATATAAAGTGACAGATATAAATCGGTTCTTAACGTAAATATGACTCCCTTAATAATGCACAACATTTAATGAAATACTTTTCGATATGACAGATAAAACAGAAGAAACAAGAACGTTTGGTTTTATGTAGTGTTGACATCTGTTTATGATTTGCTTTGAAGAAATTTTCATTCGAAATAAATTCAGCTTCAAGATTAATTATGGGCACAGAATGCCAAGAAATGCATTTGAAAATACGTGTATAATCCTACTATTCTAAAATTTAGTACGTCTTACCATTCGTGTTCTGACTTCAGAGTGCTGAAACGCGAATAGCATTATCGTTAATTAAGGTGTTGCTAAATACATCCAGAACGTGCAGGATCTTTGTGTTATAAATCTAATATCCGTGACGACAATATCAAGTAAGCGTCTCTTCAAGTTTAAGCAGTCATTTAGCATCGCTGAGTCGTGTTATTTATCGTTTAATTCATTCTGTCAGTTGAGTCAATCACGATAAAGTGCGCAGATTCATATTGAAATTCCACGCCTGAAACAAGGCGACACGCGCTTGTCGCCCCGATTTGAACACCGATGTGACTTCATTTGCATATTACACGATAGTCTGAGTCATGACGCATTTTATTCTCCGATTTATGCTATATTTTTATGGTCTTTATGGCAGCGAAAATTTTATTTTAAGTAAGATAAGTATGGTTAAAGAAATTAAATGTTATTTTACTAGGAACTATAGTTTTTAACAAAACAACCACACAGCGGAAAACAAATATTTAAGATGACTGTCTCCTGGGTTGTTGCGCCATGTAGTTTGGTAGAAGTTTGCCGACGTTTCGGAGGTGTTTGCTGCCTCAGTCATCAGGGCGATGAATAGTAAACCAGAAAAGCTAACTTCATATTCTCCGCCGTGAACCTGAAATTACAATGGTTTACAAGGAACTGGGGTGTCGTGGTGTTGAATTTTTAAAAATGTCCCAGTCCTGGTGTCTTATGAAAGCGGTAATGAATCTTCGGGTCCCATAAAAGTGACCAGCTGAGAGACTATGAGCTCTCAAGAACTGTATTCTATGGAGTTAATAGTAATGTAGGTTTCATCACAGATACATAATAAAACTTTATTACTTTAATTGCTACGTTCCTCGTCCAGCCTTATTTATTCAACGTCATCATGCTGACAGCTACGTAAGACTGATATTTATACTCGGGACAGCTGCTTCTCTGAGTTGGAAGAGCTGCAGTCAAATGGCTCCATTAACATAACAAATACTAAGTAGTTCATAGCACCTAGCAGCTGTCATCATTCTTTTAAAATCGGGGGTCACATAGCTCCTTCTTATCACTCACTGGCTGTCTTGTTATAAATGCGGGAAAATTCATTAAAACTTCATGTAATTTACTTAAAATGCTGCTAACTTACGAACGTAAATATATTCATGTAGGCCTGTTACTCAGTTTTTAATAAGTTAATTTTATTAAATATTGATTTAATATTAATTACATGTTTAACTTAGAGGTAACTATTTTGTATCGCGCACGATGATACGTTACAATAAAACTGTTATTACACGGGCCACGCAATAAATTTGGAGGGTAGCGGATTCAGAACCTCTGGGTTACAGCCAGACCTGTGATATTTCTCAGAAATTTGTAAAGTGTGCAAATAGTTTATACTACAGTATAGTGTCAAATGATAGAGCGATTAATGAATAGTGAATTGCACAGGATGTGGAAGGAAGCCGTCGTTGCCTAGTTCAATGTATAGCCCGGAATTTGCTGGAGGAATTGACGAAATCCATGATAAATCCTCGATAAGGATACCATATCTCCAAGTCGAAATTTAAACCTTCTGAATATGAAATAGCTGTTATAGTTTAGACCTGTGTAAATTGTAACTCCATTGGCACACGAATGTTTACTTTTGTGAGCTTTTATTATATCGTATCTGTGTTTAGGCTGGTTGTAATTAAGAGGGATTAAATGACCAGTTCTGATTTGAATATAAAACATATAGTAATTAGTTCGTCTGCTAATTTGTCTTACTGATGTTAGTAAGCTGCTAATTATGAACCAAGCAGAAATGAGTAATAATCACAGCATATTTGTTCTTTTTATTGTCCCAAGATTTTTCTTAATAGAAACGTCTCTTAAAAACAACATTTCTGGGTTGCCCCTGACCCATGTTCAGTGTTTAAGCATAGCAGCACTTCAAAGATGAAGAAAGTTAAAGCTATCTCTTCAGAATTCAGTGAAAGGAAATTTAAAACAGTTTCTCTTCATGTGTATATTCTCAGCATTACAATTAACATTGTAAGTATGAGCTTTGCTCGGGAGGTTCTACTTTTACCAAAGTCGAATGTACGTGGAAGACATTACTGAGTAGGCTGAAGTGTTGTCTGCGGTCCTTTGCGTATTAACAGAGCAGACATTTGCCAATCCGTGCCTAAGGTGCGGCCAGGCCGTGCGTTTGGAACAGAGCCTAGAATTCGCAAGTGCGTGAAAATATTCTTTATCTTTCTTTTGCTGTTTGGGTCTTCTTTAAATAACTTTCGGCTCAACGTGTTTGTTATCTACAACAGTCTTCCTCGATATTTCCTGATTCGCGATCCGGTAACATACCAGTGGTTTTCTCGAAAACCAGGCTCTGTTTCACATTATATATACAGTACAGCCGACGTATAAAGATCCCATTCGTAGTATAAATCGCATGTTTAAACATACAGGTTATATCTACAAAATAAAAATTAACGTCTTTATGTAGAATTAATGTCACACGAGAATAAAACAAATTATTATACCCTAACTTCACGGACACATTTATATGACCGTGGAAACATAACGAAAGATAACATCTGAATTAAGCCGCTGGACCGAAATTTACGAGAACAGCAGCAAAATAAATGTGGACGAACTAACAAAATGGGAAGACGTATTTGACCCTTCGAAGCTGAAGACCGTCTAAGTAATATTTAAGAATTCAGTCCATACCGATGATGGCGGCAGCACGCACCTCTGAAACGACGGTAACATTATACCAGACTACACGGAACAACAACCCAGAGAAGATATCTTCAGACTCAGCGCTGTGAGAACTAGAAATCTGAACTATGCTACTTTGTATATCAAATCTAAAACTTCTTGACGATGGTGAAGAGTCAATTGAATAAAAATTTACTTGGAGATTATCCCTACTTTGGTACATTTTTTTTCCATCGTCTGTTTTGCAGTCTAGAATTGAAGTCGATGATAATTAGTTTATATGGGTTAGATTAGGAAAAATATGGAGTGGAAGAAAGAGCAGATATATACCGATGTAGGCGTAGTGGAGAAAAAAATTTGTAAATTTGACGTTGATCAGACATGCACAAATGGATATGAATGCAATACAAATATCATCAATTACACAGTCATCCTATCACTTATTAACCAATATGTTTAATACTGATAAGGTCTACTTTCGTTTGAAGGTGATAATAACTTGACCCTTGATTTCTTCACATGGGTAGCCGAAGTAAATGAGCAGCCGTCTTCTGACTGGGCGGAAACTCGAAACTTATGAAATACGATACCGTAAGTTGCAGTTGGCTGGAGTCGAACTCTATATCGAAAAGATCGAAAGACCCTACCCAGGTCAGTGGAGCTTCACGAGTTGATTTGTGGTGACGTAGTGTGACGTAGGAAAAGCTGAAAGATGACAGTTTCACGTGTGGCTAAGTACGAGTGTGAACTGCACATCAGTGCAAATTAGTGTCGACTGCACTGGGTAATACTTGAATGTCGGTATCTTGTTCTTTCGCCTCCAAAGCAGTGAATATTTCCGTTTCGAGGTTTAGAAATCAAATCGGATCTTTCATCCCCTCTTTAACCGTAGTGTCACAAATTTAAAACGACTTTATATTTCAGCCGTAGAACACAAGATATCTTTACGTGATGGAAGTAAAGTGGGAACCCCAAGTTCAACATGTGCAGATTTCGTTAATTCAGAGATGGAATATATCGGAATTAATGATTTGTGTACGATAGATCCCCGATTATCCGGGTTGGTTGAGAAATATAGTTTCCTGCTAATCGAAACTCCGGAAAAAATCACAAAGATGAAGGAAAAACACGCAATAATGTAAAAAATATGTAAGTTTATTTACAGACATAAACTACTTAAATATTTAATGATTTACTAATAACAGAAAGGAAAGTTTAATACAGAACATACCAACTATCTTTTAAAAAATAATTTCAGAGGATAGTAATAAAATTCTATTGTCGTAAACTTTTAGCAACAACTGATTTATATTTTTACGTTATATAACATGACATTGTTATATTCTTGCCCTTCTTTTTAAACTTTTGTAACCGATATTCTAAATTAATTTTTAATTTTTGTTTAAACAGAAAGACTCCGGTTAATTCGCCCCCGGATAATTGGGAGAATTTACTATATACAATAATATAAGGCTAACCGTAGTGTGGAGACCAGGACATATGAAGCTACTGCTGAGAAACACCATATAAAGGTCTGGACACGTAATCCTGGAAGTTTTGAACTGTAGAACAAATGAAGATAATCTTCTCACGGAACCAGATTCCTGCGCTGTGGGAATTGTTTGTTCAGTTCCTGTTTTTCTGCTTCCTTTGCGATTGATTGGTGGCATTCAGTGAAAGTTCTTCCAAATAGGTGAATCGCATAATAAGCAGTAATTTCCCTTGAGGCCATTGTTCGCTTCCAGAAGTCTTAGCACACCTGCAAGGCTTGGCTTGTCTGCATTAAAATTGCTGGTGGAAGAAAGCTGTGATATCATTAGCCTACTTTAACTCTCTATCCGTTGGATAACACGAGTGAATTGTCTCTAATACAGCGACCTAAGGGCAACATTCATACAAAACAAATGTTTTTCGTTCATCAGGGGTTTCTGTAGTGACTTTTACAGTGAGAGTTTTACTGAACACCTTAGAACTTCGTGGAACAGCTAGTAAACTTCAGTGTATGAATGTAAATATTTTCTGGATGTGCGGAAGTGTTTTGTGATAACAAATGTTAAAAATGTGCAGCTTTGTCAAAGTAACTTTTGTGGAATGCGAAACAACAACATGGAAATTGCACTAAATATTTATTTAGCCTTTGGTTTTATGACGAGACTAAAACGATTTGGAGTTAGACATGTAGCTTCTTATGTGAATAAAAACCATAATCACAGACCTATCTATGAAATGGAATTAAATTCTCGTATCATACAGACGCAAATAGTCTTAGAAGCATAAGCAGTCGGGTGGGAAATATTGCAAATGGAAATGAGTCACAATTTTACAATCTGAAAGTAAATTAATATTACCTGTTAGCCTTACCTTAGGCCTATAAACTGAAGCATGTAAAGAAAATATGTCGTACATTCTTTCGTTAAATTATTATTTTTTAAAACTTCTCGCATTCTTGAATCGTTCGTAGTTTCTTAAATGAATTATATAGGATATATACAAGAAAAGAAAATACATAAAGAAAAAGCAGATCTAAAGATGACGTTGCTACGAACATGATGATCAAAGTTCTTGACTCAATTGGCAGCGTTTTCGAAACACGCATGCAGGATATAAACACATTTATTTATAAATTATTCACTTCAATCACGCCCATAATTTCATTCACTTTGAGGGTCCTCTCATGGCCCTCTTCCAAGATGATAGTAGTGTATGAGGCTAATAAACCTTGGGAAATAATCCTACAAGACTACAACAGGCTAATGCCCCACGAAAATAACGATGTGACGATGGCTACATAATTGCAATTAAGAACTGGCAGGCGATTTCGTCAGACTAAAACTGATTTAGAATGGTATTAGTATTTATATCCATGTTGATTAACCCATACAGCGCCAAGATCGATTAGTTAGACGGTAAACCATGCAAGCGCTGTGTAACTAAGTGACTAAGGCGTGTCAGGATAGTGACAGGAGGACATCGTTGACTAGACATTTGGCTAGCATAGGGAAAAAGGAATATATAAATATATATATATATATATATACTTGGGAATTGTTCTGGAAAATGACCACTTGCTAGAGAAAGAAATAGGAGGATGACATTGTAATTGATATTATAAAAAACATTGTGAGATGAATGGATCTCATTCAGAATTATTCTGTCACAGAGTTAATGCCAGCGTCATTAAAACAGCCTTGGGATTTGACATGTCAGTCAATTTTTTTGGCAACTTTAATTATCTGTGTTGGCAGAGGAGAAATATTTTAGGTGGGTTATTATTATTATTATTTAGTATTCTGTCTGACGACAGGTCCATATGAACAGGATCCTTCCATCCTTTTCTCGGACTGGGACCTGTTCATATACGTTCTTGGCAGATGATCCAGAAGTGGTTTGCCATTGCCTTCTTCTGTGTGTGAATGGAGTAATTGTTGGGATGCCACGGAGAAACCGGGGAAGCCCCCAGAGGAAAACTCCGTGTTGCCTAGGCCACGGCCTTGCCCAACACAAGTTATAAATTCGGGCACCGCCGGGAATCGAACCCGAGACCCCAGGATTACAAGGCCAGCGTTCTAACCGAGGAAATATAAACGTTCCATTCGTGTATAATACATTTCAAGAGATAAAATCAAAAAAGGAATTTACAACAATATGCAAACACTTTTGGAACTTAGGGTGTCGGCACTGAATGTCAATCAAATGCAAGTCCATAATTGGTCATGTCGTGTTTTAAATGCCTTTATCCTTCTCCGAAGAGGACATTTGCGCCTACTATGTCAGCAACCAGCAGTTACGCTCAAAGTTTCACGAAGCTGATGTAACGTCTGCAAACAGAACTTGAAAATTCCTTCTTTTTTTCACAAAAGAACACATTGCACTTTGTTAGATAGTTTAATTTTTCTTACGAATGACTTGTTGCTATTTGCTAACATAAGAATGGCTTCTTTCAATTGAAAAATAAGAGGGGAATTAGAAAAGTAAGGACAGTATTGGAATATTTTCGTTGTATGATTGGCAGCATTGCTAAGGCCTGGTCATATTGCAGCTCAAGGTCAGACAGTGACATGCTGCGAGTGTGGTTCAGTTGTAGTTTATTTGTGTCGAGTGAGTGAGGATTAAAGATGTTTTCTACACTCGAGGTTTGCGCTAGAATTTGTCGGGAAGGGGTGGACTTCGTCTTTTAAGATGCGACAGGACTCCACGGGGATGACGTGTCGTGTTAGTACGTGCAGTTTTGTGCCTAATTGCCTCTTATATCAGTATGAAGATGTTCACTGACTCTTTGGCTTTGTGGTGAAGCGCCTGCAGCTTCTTGCAGCTCTGTGGTCCACCACTTGATTACTCTGGACTTGCATGCCCTTGCGTGACTTGAAGAGGTTAGGACGAAAGGGTGCAAGGATGGGCGCAACGGGCCACGTACAGTCTGTCCAAAACGTTCTTACTTTTCTTTATGAAGCACTAGAACAGTGTTTTCTAGATGGACTTGTTCTGGTATATTTGCATAACGTGTATATAATCGACGCAGTATGTCTAGATTGTTTTAGTTCATATACATCTACTGAAATTGAATTAAAAATGATGCAATACAAGGGAGTTATTTAAGAGGTGCTGGAGAAAAATTTAGTTTTGGTTTGTATCTGCGAATTATAAACTAATTTATCCGAAGCTCAAATTTGATTTTATAACATGTCCCAAACGACTCCCCATTCCATTATGTATCTGGAGCTTCTTCCCAGAGTTAAGTCGGCTGGAACATAAAGCTGACTACTCATACCCGTACACAGCCGGGATAGAAATTCGTGATCTACCTTCACTACCCTATAAGTCTTCATGGAATGGTTCTTAGGAACAATTACAATTGTAATTTTTTGTGCAGAAGTATAGGCCTATGTTGGGAAAAAGATTGTTTATGTAATAAGCATCTTGTTTTGTTTTTTTCTCGTTAATGTTGGAGGAGTGTATCACTGATGAGTCATAAAGTCCAGCTCATCATGACTGACAATGTTCTGTCCACACCCAATTAGTAGGAGCAGGCGGACAAGTCTGGTTCGCTCTTGATGCATCTTGAGACATTATTTTACTCCGTGTTCGTGGTAATTGTGATCCTGTGCCTCACAGGAGAATAACAGGCACAATAAGAGATGGCTGTAGCTTCGTGACGTTGCATGTCGTGACATACATTGACTACGATTTTAAAACTTGGTATGGGACTCCATACCGCCCTATGAAACGAATTATTTCAGACTACTTTGTTTGTGCATATGAATACGTTTACATACATACGAAGCTTGGTAAACAAGATGGCCGGTCACCTGGGGATAAATTATTTTGTGAACTGGCGAACAAAAATTGATTGTTTGGGTAACCATTTATGTAAAAGAAAGCATGTAAATTTTATAATTTCTTTATTTTGATGTTGATATGTTGGGAGTACAGTTCCAACTACTTTATTTATAACAACAGTAGTGCCGCCAAAAAGGAAAGCTAAATAGTTTGAAAACGTACGTAGAAGCAGACTACATAACTTCGAAATAAATTAATACGATTTAAGAGCACACATCGCGTATTGACATTTATTTTTTTTATAGACGGCTATATTCACAGACGATCGAACGACAACAAATAATTTCCGCATTGTCCAGAATCAAAAGGTAAATACTAATAAAAATAAAACTTTTAGGGCTGACAAATTAAACTTCAGTTAATCTTTGGACTTTGTATGAATAATTTTTCAAACCATGATACATACATGGGGTGTCAGTCATAACTGTCGACATCACAAGAGAAATTTCACCACAGACAAGTTTCTGTGCATAACGCGGGCAGAGCGTTAAACGTTGTCAGTTACCCGCAACACTTAAATGCCTTTGGTGGCGCCGGGCTGGAGCTGACTGCCACCATTTATCAGCGGCGCCAAGGAGAATAGGTTGTTGTCCCCGTTCTTGTTCTGTACCATGACGCGATTCGACGACATGTAAGAACATCCTGTATCTGCCGAGCAACACAACAAAACCGGACATAACCATCAACCGATAATTTGGTATTCACAGATAATAGGAGCGGAATTGTGAGCTCCCAATGGGCCACGTATTTACCAGATCCTACTTTTCGTGATTTTGCATAGTTCATCCATGGCTAATATACATTTTTGTTGAAGATCTGTCTTCTGGGTTGTTGCGCTGTGTAGTCTGGTAGATGTTAACCGACGTTTCAGAGGTCATACTGCCTCCGTCATCAGGGCGATGGTTGACATCGACCAGACTACACAGCGCAACAACCCAGAAGACAGAAATCTTCATACTCACTGCTGTGAAAACCTCAAATCATACATTTTTGTTACAAATTAAAATGTATCCCCCCCCAGGTAATTATTCCTCCTCCGTTTTTGAACCGATAGACGTTTCACGATCGAAGTAAGTGTCGTTTGCATCTTTCTAAAACAACCACTCCCATTCCAATAATTGAACAAATGTATGTGTTCAGTAACAGATATTTCTTTACGTTTACCAGTCAACCACATTACGTGTATTGGTCAGTATGCCACCAGACACCAGGTAGCGGAGAGGTTGCCATCCCCGGTCTAAACACTGTCTAGTGTTATCAGACTATAATTACCTGCAGTGGACTGCCTCTGGGACACCAGCCTTCTCTGCGATACTCGATTCCATTCGAAGTTGAAGAGCTGCACGCGGTATTTGGAAGTCGTGAAGGTGTAGAGCAGAGGATTGACAGCCGAGTTTACCGGTAGAATGAATAATACCACCCATGCGTACAAGTCAGCTGGAAAAGTTAACAGTCTTTCATCTCCTGCGCATCTTTTGTATTACCGAAATTATCATGACGTAGCACGGAAGCTGAATGACGCTGGAGGGCGAAGCGGATCTAAGCGGTCAGTAAAAACTGACAGAAGTTGCAGCAAGGACAATAAACACAAAATATGCATGATGAAATATAAAGACTACTTTTTGCCTCACTATAAGAATTACAATTTTAAATAATGCCGAAATTGGAGATTCCATATGTATTGCATATTCTCAAACGTTCCTGAACATGTCGATTTGAGGTTTTAACGACGTGTAACCTTCTGGTTGTACACCAATGTGAGGATGGAGGCAGCATGCTCTACCAAAACGTTTGCATACAATAAAAAGTCCACATGGTGCAAGAACCTAGAAACCCACTGTCTTTGCCCTATAAATCCTACATTTCAGAAACGGCACTTCGAATTGCGTGCAGATAAATTTATAAACAAATGTGAAACCATTATGTACTATAGGTCACAGATACTGCATTATTTTGCACGGTTAGTATTATTACCAGTTTCGATAGAGGACCGTGGTATAATACAGAAAATTTGCCTTAATATATATATAAAACTGAGTTCAGTTTTAAATTTCTAACCAATTGTAAGGACAAGTACGGAACGTCGCGGTTCAGTGGTTCGTACTTCTGCGTCTGTTGCCTGGAGACACGTAATCATGACTGCGTTATGCTGTGATTTTCCTCGGTCCCTCCAGAAATATTCTGGTATGTTACCTTAACGTTTACCAGCACCAGTTATATGTTCTGTATTCTGGCGCTATTAGGCCAAAGCTTCACGCTACGCTACGCTAATGACACGCTTTGCATCTGGGTATTTCGCGTTACTGTAGATCTGTTACCTGGAATGTGGACTCTGTTCAATGCAATCAGCTTCAGAACTATGATGGGAGCCCAACAGCCAGCGTCGGTCAGAACAATGAAGAAGAATCTGATGACGAATTCAAAATCTCCAACAGAAGAGATCGGAGTGGCTTGGCGCGTCCTGTAGATACTTACGAACATCCACGTGTATAGAATCGCTATGAGCACCAGTCTAAAGCAGGAGTAAAGACATTTGGAACGGAAAACCACGAGATTATTCTCTTTGAACGTACCTATTATCTGGATAGAGATGTATTCCATACACAATGTTCCGAAATATACGTCTGTCTGTCTTCTACTCCACGAGGCCTATTATACAAATCTCGTTCTTATCACTGGACACTTAAATAATGCAATTCATAAATGAAAACAGTCTTCTGCTAAAAGTCGACTTAGTCTGAAACTCTCTGCTTTGACTTTCTAGTTGCTTGTTTATTTACAGCAGCAATGTTCTTAAATTATTGTTGATGTAATGTAAATTACCGTTGTTTTTATAAACTGAATTTCGTAAGCGTCGTAATGACCTGACTAGACTATTGCTCACCCAGAAAAATTGACTCCCAGGAAGATGAAAGCCGAATACTGCCAGCCCATGAAAAAAGGGTCGTCTATGTGAAGAGGGAAGCACATGCCATTCGTTCCGTAGAAGCGCGTGCTGTTCTTCCAGTACAGGACTGAAACATTTTGCATAGTCACACCAACAGCAGTGGGCCTTCGATTCTCTGAATTCACTACAGGCGAAACATCGCCGTTAAATATGTCACGAACCAATCATTTCGTATTTGTATAGGCGACGGACCACTTGGAGAAAGTAGACGTAATGGCTGATAATATTGGAATGTGTATTTTGAAAATAGGTTGTGAGAAAACGGACTTGAATCACCTGGTTCAGGACAGGGTCCAGTGAACAGGGGAATTAACATTTGAGCTGCATAAAAGACGGACAATTGCTCTTTTGGAGTGAGACAGATTTCTGGTTCTTACGGCGGCGAGCATGGAGATGGTTGTCTTGTGTTTTGTTGGGTCGTGGTTGGGCGATCGCCCTGATGATGGTACCAGTAAGCACTCTGAAGCGTTAGTAAACCAGAGTAGTACTGGCTTGACCTTTAAACAGAAGCACCCATTTGCGCAGGGGCACAGCCGTTTATAATGTGCGATACAGAAACATCGCCAGACTCTTTTCTCCAATAGTTTTCTAGCTTTCTAGTGTTACGTCTCGTTCTTGTATGTCTCATATTTTTAGAAGGGGGTAATGTTTTTCTGACGGACTTTAGTATGACGCAATGGCTTCAAAGTCGAGTTAATTCTCCTCTCAGGCAGACAGTACCCGGCACAACAATCTACAAGGCAGCCATCTTCATGGTCTTTTGAACTCGTCAATAGTTGCTTTCTCTCTCTTAGGTCCATATCTTTAACATTTTATTGCCAATTATCCTCAATTTTTGTTGGTACCTCAGAACGGTAGACCAATCCTCTTACCTTTATAAAGTATTTCTTTATTTATAAAAATAAAATTGAAGAACTTTGTTCTTTTCCGAGTTATAATGTCGTAAAACGTAAGAACACAGAAACATTTTTAAATTACACGCCGGTAATTAAAATATTACTACAGCAGCTGTTACCTGGTATAGAAGCAAAGCTGAGCCCCGCTGTCCAGATTACTGACAGACTGAGACACGTTGTCTTCATGGACATGTTCTGGTGCCCACCTAAAGGAACGGCAATCAGCAAGAATCTCTCCATGGACAGGAATACCAATATCAGTACTGACACCTGTTGGTTAGAACACACGGACAAAAGCTTGAATCTGTTCCTCTGCACCACAAACTTCTTTTGACAATGAATATTTACATTATCTAACAATACTCCCACTTGCAGGGGTTATACATTACATCAAGATTTTACCAATGACGCTATATGTCTAAAGTGCTGCTACCTTTAGGCAGGTTTTAGAATCAGTTTTTAAGAATATGAAATGGCTAAAGAAAAGGAAGAAATGGGCAACGGATGAAGATACGTAAGAAAATATTTCCGTTGAATTTCAACTGGTATTTTCTAAGAACTGATAATGAATAGTGAGTTGATAAGAATTTTAAAGCAGGAGGTCGTTGCGTATTTTGAGGTGCATCGGTTTTAGGGTGAGGACAGTTATTAAAAACCGACATTCGTACTGTAGATAAGAACTTTATAGATTGTTATCTACAGCGGTACTGATTTTTTCGCAAATAAGACCTCATTTAATTTTAAACAATCAATTAAGCAGTTCAGACTATTCTTATAACGTCGGATGATTTGATGATTAACGAAGCGGTAAGATTAAGGAAAGAAAGCGGTGGTGGCCTGATTTAAGGTACTATTATCGGCGTTTGCCTGTACGGCCTCAGAACATCCAGTTACCAGGTCGAGATTTGAGCTAGGGTTCTCCCAAATACTAAGCAGGTTAAACAATCGGTCCCAGCGTTCGGTGACACATTTTCTACATTTAGTGGAAGCTAATCTTATTTCTCCTGCGTCCTTCATTTGTTTCTATAAATTTCTGCTTAACTCGAGACTGACACTCACTTCTGATGACGTCATGGCAACCATACCGATGATAGTGCACCTCCAAGAAGTCATCCAATTGTGTGCCTCTTTGTGATAGATGCCTCGGAATTGGGAGTCTTGAGTCCCAATCACCAGCAGATAAATTCCCATTAACAAATCTGAAACTGTTACCAGTCTAAATTTAGTATTTATGTTTTTTGCGGTTTTTCAAAGGAAGGTGTAAAATTAACACGAAAAAATTTCTAAATTTTCCCAAGTTCATGTGTAGTTAGTGTTAACTGGTGAAACTGTAATTTTAAATTTATTCGGATTAAAATGGCTACTAGTGACACTTCACTCGTAAATGCGCGATCACGAAAGAAGGTAATGTCAGAGAATTTGTGATAAAATTAACCACAGTTGATATTATTTTAATTATTAGATATTTAGAAACGAGACAGAAACAAGAAAATGGTTCTGAACTGAATCATCCCCAAATCCTCAAATTTTATTTTTTCTTAACTTCGTCTTGAATGTAATCTGCATATGTTACTATGATTCTGAAATAAGGTACTTGTATTTCTGGCTTCACTATACAACATATAAAGATTATTTTTCTCTTCTGGCACTCCATTACCTATTCCTATGTAATGCTTGCAAGACATGGAAGACTTCTACTTTTTCACTTTTATTAAAAAGTAATTCTAAATGTAAAAACTCATCGCCTGACATATAAACTTCAATCTTACCTCGAAACGGTCGTCGCTTACATGCTACGTTTATCACCACGAGCTTACCTGCCAGGTTTCTGATCACCAGACTGTGAACTTTATTCTCATCTCGAGAAGAGAACCTGCCCCAGAGCACCATCCCATTCCCCACACACGTGACTGCAGCCACCATCCAGACCGTCGCTCTGAGGATCGGCTTCACCAGAAGGTGTTTTAGTGATGATACTCCTGGCACATACAAGTTGAAGCAAGTTATGTACACATGAAGCTTTTCACAGTCTCCGTTTTCAGTGCTGGTTATTTACCTAAGAGCCTACACGGCGTCTATACCCAGAATAACACCATCCTCATCGCCACGAGAACCTCAAACCTTATAAAGAAATATATTTGGCAGTGTGTAGTGGTAAATACTTCGCAAAAATAAAATTATATCTGCAATAAATGAACACAAAGGACAATGAGATATGTAAAATTACGAATAATGCTTTTCGAAAAATATGTACTTCAATTTCAGGTGACTGGCAGTGTTTGAAGAATTACTTCACGTGAAATAACGCTTCTGAAGCACATGTTTGATGAGCGATAGGGAATGTTACTGTAGTAAAGGTTGCATACCGACCACGGCGAGTTGCAACTATTTTCGATAAGGAGAGCAGCACTGAGTTGTGTATAAAGTTATGGGGGAAGACTTTCTGTAAACAGTTACTTTGCAGTTCTTAAGGTTTGTGTAAAGCTGCTGTAGGCATGGTGACCTATCTTCTAACTCGAGGAGAGGGAATTTATTTCTAAAGTGTGTGTTTATATGAGGGCGATTTGAGATTTACACAAAATGCAGAAAAGACTTGGTCTTTGAGCCATTGGTGAATATTTAAATAACGTTCAAGATTTTTAACATATAATGGAGCTAAAGAGGATGAAGGCTATTACTAGGGCTTATACTAAAACCGACTTTTGAAAAAACCGGTTTCGAATTTCAGTATTTCCAAAAACCGGTTAAACCGGTTAAACCGGTTTTCGAATTTTTACAAAAAGTTTTCCATAGTTAAAACATTAATAAATATTTATACTTATTTTAATTTTTTTTAGTTTATTTAATATTTATGGAACTACAAAAATATAACAAAATAAAATATACTCTATACAAAACCAACTAAAATCCGTACAAAATATGAATTATAAACTATGGCGTTTGCTAGATCCAAGTTAAAAATTTGTAGCCTCTCAGAAACTAATTCTAATGTTTTCTTAGCATCGTAGGAACTAGCTATTGGAACTAAGCCCAAATTAAAATCTTCCGCAAAATGGTGTACGTTGATATTCATATATCTGCGATTTCTTTTACTAGTCCACTCATCTAAAGTTATATAAATTTTTTCCCCATTCTTCTTAATACAATCCAATTCATTTATAATTTCACGTTTGGCATTGTCATAAAACGTACGAATGAGATCCATTACTCGAGAGTTGTTTTTTTGGTAATGAATATCCCCGTTGTTGCAAAGACTGTCGTATGAACGAGCTTGTTGTAATGCTATTAATGGACAATCCATCCATTGCAGCAAGTTTTACTATAATTTCTTCTAAACTGCTCTTTTTCACGAAATTAAAAATAAAATGCGTTTGTGGATTTGCATGTCAAACTTTCGCCTGACTCATGAAGATTAGTTTTACTACAATATGCTTGTGCCCGAGGCGATTTCAAGTCAAAATATTAACGTTTTTAATGAATTAATTAACTAATATTTCCATATTAATTCTAGTATCTTAAACCGGTTTTTAAATTTTAAAAACCGGTTTTCGAATTTTACAAATTTATCCAAAAAACCGGTTTTTTAACCCGGCTTTTAAAAACAGACAAACCCTAGCTATTACTTGATTATGAGTTTGCATCACTTACATTACCTGATATTATTAAAGTTATTAAGGAGGATTAGATGGATGAAACATGTAGCACGCATATAAAAATTTGGATGGAACAGCTGAAGACATGTAACTCCGAATACCTAGGAGTGGATGGGAATACAATACACGTTAATATAGAATATAGAATATTAGAATAAATCTTAGAGAATTATTTGCCTAGGTGTGGACTACATTCAGTGGGCTAATGGTAGGGTCCAATGACAAGTGTTTATGTACTAGGAAATGAATCTTTGGACCGCATTAAAATAGACTAGTTACGTAACTACCAACTTTACAAAAACGTCCCTGAAACTCTGAGTTACTTAATTACTAATTTTAAAACATCTTATTTCTGTGTCACTTCACCATTATTAATAGTTCGTTACAGCTTTCTAGGCTGCGTTTTGCTTACTTACCATCCGTGTTCGGTCTGCAAATTCTGACAGCGGGTGCATATGTGCAATAGTAGAACTTGTCAAAGTACCTGGAAATGTCACAGAAGTAGTTAAGACGTTTATTGGATCTGCAATTTATACCGCAAGAGCGCTCAAATCTACGTAAGTGTACTTACACAAACTCTAATGCAGTGAGATGAGAGAACATTTCTATGGCGATGTTGTCTATTACAATGTTTCCAAGTTGCCTGAAAGAGAAACCAAAAGCTGTTTGCTTAATTTACAATGAAAAATTCTCTGGCGTCATGCTGTATAGCCACTGAAGTATATTTCTTCACGTTCTTCGATTTTCCCCTGGTACATTCCACCATTGCATCAAATTGTTATACTCTCAGCCCTAAGTTAAAAGCTTCATCTTTAACCTGGTACTTGGTTCGTCTTAGAGTATTAAAGGTGGTTTATTATTAATAATATATGAATATCGCAGCAGCCGGAATGAATCTTTTACGTGGTAGCTTCTGACCCACGAATCCACTCCAGGCGTAAAGACACAAAGTTACTTACAAAGATTTCAGATGCTTCGCTGTGCTGAACAGCTCGGTCGGGATGGATCGGAGCGGGTTGTCCGTAAGAGACCTGCAATTAAATAAAATTGGGATGAGCTAAAGAAAAGGCGAAATCTGAGATTCTGAAGACGACGACTGTGAAGATGCCTATATTATAGGATATTGCGTACTTTAGTGTGACAAATGTTAACAGACGTTTCATGGAATCCTACTGCCTCCATTACAGCACAGACAGAGGAAAGTCTATGAACAAATATAAATTTTACAGCTGAGGTTCTCACGGCTTTGAAGGTGTTGATGTTGGTCTCTTGTGTAGTAACACCCTGAAACGTTGATATTTACCTACAGGTCTACGCGGCGTTTCTACCTAGGCGACCAGCATCGATAAATGCGCTTTCTGAGTGGCCATTGACGTGAATTAAGATAAAAGATCGAGTCGGTGACCGTACGGAGAATAAGCGAAGAAACAGCAGAAGTGATAAAATTGCATCTGAAACGAGCATGATGATTTTTAAGAAGTTTTGCAAGAATATCTTAAGACCAAATAGCAAAAATTTTAGTCTGAATGAATCTTGAAAGTTGAGGATGGATGAATGAATGTACCATGAAGTACCGATGAATTCATTTAATAATATTTAAAAATTTAGTTCCTACTTATAATAAAGCAGCATCTCAATAATGATGATTTGGTTAATGCTGCTTATGGAAATAATAGCTCGTTTATACTGAAAACGATATGTTATTGTGGACTTTCGCGACGCTGTGCAAATTGGGAAAAATGTAGTTAGTGTATGTTAAAGTAAGTGGTACGTTTAAGTTACGTTGTGCGCTGGCAAGATAAACGAAGACAAAGATTATTAAATAATTAAATTATTTGTAACATGAAAATATTTTATTTAAAATTTCGTAGTAATGTACACAAACTAATTAAGAAATATAAATAATTTCACAATCTGATTTTCAGTTAATTAAAAATATTTTCTACGCACTTTCACGTCAGACTCTTCACATATTCTTGAATTCTTATTGATTTCGTGTTTGTTAGATGTTGGTGGTGTTTGTTCTGTCCTACACTCAGTTTTCAATCTCGTGTACGGAATTGGATGGCAGTGTGCACATTTATTCTAAACTATGTTTACTTTACTTTGTAATCCATTATGAAATACGTAGGTACGTGAATGTAGATAAGTCAAACATTTCACAACTTAAACTGAACTTTAAACTAATCCAACGTACTTTCGCAGTGGAATTTTTTCCACGCCGAGTTAATTGATATAGTGGCATATTTCAGTATCCATTGATTTTTAATATTCTTCTTATACTTTCAGGTCCAATGGTCATGTCGCCATAACATGAGACTGGATTTAAGGTAAGACAGGTTTTACAGTACTAAACGTTTTATCTCTCATATCATAAGTACTTTTAAAAGCTGCCTGATATAACAACAAATGTGAAATTAATTTTGCCACGTAGCGTTATTACTAAAAACATTTTAGACCATTTTAGCGCAATTAACAACGCATGAAAGCTAGAAAGCATCAAACTACGTTTCACGTAATAGACCAATAGATTACTCACAGTTTCATGATAGCTGTCAAGTTGTGGAACACCGTAGGGGCCAGAGTTTGGATCTGATTGTTAGCGATGTCCCTAGCAACAATGATAAATTTATATTAGTTTTTATGAACATGTTATCCCGTGCATATAAACAAGATCCTGAATATTTGGAATAAATTGAAGGCAAAGAAAAATTTTAATTGTAATTACTCAACTCTACATACCAAATTTAATATAAATCGATTCGTTAATTTCAAAAATCATATATGTAAACTTGTTGGCAGACTCGATCTCCACATTATATATTAATTTTGTGAACATCTAGTGAACTATGCATAAAAGAGGACGTCTAATTCACATAAATCAGTTATACTTACAGTTCTTCGAGGCAATGCAGATTTCTGAACGCATTAGGATGGATGTGTCTTATACGGTTCTTATTTAGATCCCTGAAAAGATAAGTGTCATGCGGTTAAAGGCCAGGGACAATAGAATGGACCCTTTTTTGACAGACTGCAGAGATGTCCTGGCGGGCCGTTAACAAGGGGCTCCCACAAGCAAGCAGTATTTCTTTTCTTGTTTTCGTTTCGATATTATAAATGTCACAATTTTTAATACGAGGTTTACTCATGTCGTTAGCGAATAATGGAGAGTCCGTATAATTGATCGCATCGGATCAGAAAATACTTTACTTACAGACTTTGTAGAGCTCTGAGATTCGCAAATGTGTTTTCGCCGATTTCCTCAATGGCGTTTTCGTCAAGGATTCTGAAAAGAAAGTTGAAACTTACTTTTAATAAACTTGACCATGCAAATGTATTTATATTCCTAATATAATAGGCAATGTCCGTCACGCTTCACCGTGCGCCGTTCATGCGATTCGGTAAAGAATTAAATTCTGATGTTGGCGACTCTGGTAGAAAGAAATGCAACCGAACCTAGAAGGGAGAATTAAATAAAGTTTCCAAGATAAGTTAATATAAAAAATGGATGTAATCGAGGGTCATGTGGTTTTGGACAAGAACAAGTAACGGACTCTTGTGACCACTTAATGAATTTTCGATTTCCTTAAAAGATGAGAATTCAATTAGAAGGGTCGAGTAGCGGCTTCTGAAGAAGTATTCAGCTCGTCGAAATTAGACATTTTGAATTGTTGGAATATTTTCATTGTATGACAGAATATAAATTAAATTAACTTACAATTGTTTGAGTTGAGGAAGTTCTGGAAAATATTTTCCTTCAAGCGTTAGGCGGTTTCTAGTTATATCACTGAAAAGAAAATAAATGTTTAATTGCGTGGCAAAAACGTGTTTCAGTTATGTAATGATGGGTATATTAAGGACATTGATAAATATCTGCTCACTTCTGTTGCGAGAAAAGTGTTGTTAAATGCAGTTAATGCTCTAAGTCATTTGTGCAAGTTGTGTATAAGAACAAAGGATATACTTTGCTACAACGAAAGTAAACTAATTGTTACGATGTCAGTCTGTACATCTGCACGGTCATTATCAGTTTGGGTAAATATTTTATAACCTAGCAACGGCCACTGGAGGCACGAGTAGGCCGAACGCAGAGTACGTACTTTAAACCGCGGATGTTGGAAAATTATGACGGATAGGGACAGGAAAGTAAACCGTGATTTTCCTAATACCTCCCAGTTAATTTCCGGGATATCCTAAAGTAGGCTATGATCACTTCCTTCTACATTCATACCAATTAATTATTCGTTTCCATCCTGTCATTCGTCACTATAAAATCTAAGCTACGGACAGCATCTTTAGTTGCAACCAGAATCTTAATAGGTCATTCGTTCACCATGAAGAGCCTCAGTGAGGACTTTCGGTCTCTGGACAGAGTTGTTAACTCGAGCCCTTCCGAATACGAAGCAGGAATTTAATCACTCAGCCACGACGTCAGAGTACAAGCGCGTATTCGTTTGATTTTATACGTGTCCTACATATCCATTCACATATCAAAGACTATCTTGCACTGCGGAAGGCACAAGGGAACACAGACCGTTTGCCTTGATCAAAATGCTTGCAATAATTTGAATGGTCCTGTTACTGCAGTTACCTTCGTAGCCCACAATTCTGTGATATAAAATACACCACAGACAACACGTGAGTTCCCAGAAGCCACATTTTTATATGTAACTAGGTAGTTCGCCGAATAGAATATGAGTGTCATCTACGAGTGGGTTTCGTAAATAGGAATTGTTTCTTTAATCACCACAAACAGAGAGATATTTGTAATGGCGAAATATTGTGTTTGCTTTGCGGTACGGACTGAAATGTGCATTCTAATAGATCTGATGTTTAAAATACTATTCTGTCTGCACTTACAGCCACGTAAGATTGAGATACGTGAGAGCTTCCATGTCAATGTCCACAATGTTATTGTCCTGAAGAACCAGCCATTTAAGATGCGTCAGATCCTTCAGAGCGCCGGCTCGAATAAACGTCAGTTTGTTATTTGTCAAGAATCTGGAAACAAACAACAAATTCTTCTTAATTTAAGTAATTTATCCACTATTACTTAGCCTAGGGTCCAGTGGCGGGCTTGTGTGAACACAGTGATACACATAAACATGAAGATGGCTGTCTTCTGGGATGTAGAATCTTGTAGTATAGTAGATATTGTCCGACGTTTCAGAGAATGTAGTAGTTATCTGCATACCCGACGCCATGAGAAGAACCATAAATCTCACCAAGTTATTTATTGATACTCCGTATCATTGTTTAATCACTTGATATTGTAATGAAGACAGCCAGATTTTCCGAAACGTCAGAGAATCAGTTTACCACGATTAGATGATAACCACCGCGTAAACTCGAATATTATTATTATTATTATTATTATTATTATTATTAATAAATTGAATTAAACATATTCTCAAAAAAAAATTGTATGAAAGTTCCAGAAAGTCGTTAGATTTGTTACTGGCCCACATATGTTCTGTTCCGCTAATGTTAATGAAACATACTTACAGACGAATGAGCATTTGTTGTTGTTCGAAGACTCCGTCCGGAAGGTCATCAATCTGATTCCATCCCAAATGACTACATGTAACAGAGGCATCCAAAATAAATGTTTTATACGGACCAATAGAAATCCAGGCGGCAGGTTTTACTTCGTGCAGCAAATCCCTTCTAAAGAAGTTAAAAGATGATTGTGTACATGAAGGATTATTGATTGTTAAAGCAGGTGGTATATATAATTACCACTAGGCTTCAAAGGGTTAACTTTTTTAAGGTAACAGTTCGAACTTCATTTCATTTAAAAATTACTTCAGTGCTGACATGAAATGGGAATTGATTAATCACTGTCGAGAGCTGGACTCAAGATTTTATTGCTTGAGCAGTTGGCAATTTATGAAGTTGGCTTACGACTTTGCAGAGTTATATAGCCAGAGTTGTAAGTTTGCAGGCGAAAACTACATTTTAAGATTCTACAAGAGGCAAAGCCTTTCGTTTTGTAATCCAGGAGAGTACAGTTAAGCTCGTGCGATGGGATTTAATGAAGTCCAGATCTACCATGACGTCAGGGGGTTAAACAGGATATACTCAGCGTTTGTTAGTATTGTAACGTAAATAACCACAGTGAATATTAGTGACTTTTGGTCATTTTCTTTGAAGAATGTATGTCGCTTTAAGGAAACATTAAGAGATTGCTTTCACTGAAATAAGATTACATGTTAAATGTATGGATTTTGGCATTATAAAAAGTAAAGTAAAAGTTTGTCCCACTATACGCCATGTAGGCGTTTGGTGTGAGTGGAGGTATAGCTCCTCTCTTCCTTGACCTCGGCACTAGATGGGGGGGAGTGGTCAGCATCACGCCGGCTTTACCCCCGGGAAAGGACCCCGGTACCCATTGTAGAGGAGGCTGGGGGGCCCCAGAGCCGGTCTGGACGCAGAGGCTAGAGGAAAAAATCCTCTGCCCCCGTCGGGGATCGAACCCCGGTCGTCCAGCCCGTAGCTAGTCACTATACTGACTGAGCTATCCCGGCTCATTTTGGCATTATAACTGGGCTTAATTAAAAGTAGTTGTCACCAAATTGCATACTTAAAGGTCACAGAAAATCACTTACGTTGCAACACGAACAGAAGACCCCAGGTTAGTGAAGACAGCTCGCAACTCACAGAGCATCAAATCTAGCGATGCTCTGCTGTTGACTTAGATTTCTGTTCTGGCTGATTGCACCCACATTTGTTCTAAATTTTTACAGGCACACATACTATGTGCGAAAGGTGATGTAAGTCGCAAGTCATTATAAGGCCTAAAATAATAGTATTGAAACTGTCCTAAATAAATATTGTATAAGGGTGTGGAATGGATTAAGCTGGCTCAAGACAGGGCCCAGTCTCGGGCTGCTTTGAACACAGCAATGAAGCTTCAGGTACAATGAAAGTCGAGCTGAGCAACTATCAGCTTCTCGGAGAGACTGACTCACGGAGTTATGTACAATTTTTGGATTACTTTTTGTGCACAGTAGGAAGAGTGTTTTCATTGCAGTAACCATGATAAGAATAAGAACGAAAATGTGTACAGGAATCTCCCGACGTACGAGACTACTGCGTTCTCAAAACCGGCCGTGTAACTGGAAATTTTTGTTACTTCTTTATTTCCACTGCCCTTAATTTATATCGATAAATACCCAGTTTATTTAACTGTAATTATATTAATATATCACCTCATGTAGGCTATACACTGACGTATATTCTTCTGCTATAGATTTTCATGTTACTGGCAAAAAGACGTAATAAATATCAATGCGTTTCTGTAAAATAATTATCTCTTTAAAAACACAAAGATATCTTTTAGACCTATTCTAACACAGATTAGTAAGAAATATAATATTTAGTACTTACGTTACTGACGTTTCAGCTTCCATTTACCATGTTTCACGAAAGAGATAATAAAGAGGTTTTGTCGTGTGATCCAGGGAGCTGTCTTTCAAAATATTCTGCAAAAACTTTATCTTGGCATTGAGTTTCAGTACTCGATCATTTGACAGATATATCTAAAAATGAGGGGGGGACACTGAATTTCTGACTAAATGGAAGTTGTAGCCGTTTTTAGTTGTCATTAAATAAAATCGCATGAAATGAAATGGGAAATTCACGAAAGTACCTAAGAAAGTAATTTGAGCAAGTTGATAAAAAGTGAAGAAGTAATAAAATTAAATTTTAAAACTTCGAAGGATTAACTTATTTAAGGTACTTAAGCAACGCAAGTTATAGGGCTATAATAGGCCTACGTACCAACATAATAAATGGAAATGGTGCATGGATGTGACAAGAAATTTTGTGCATAATCTTAGTGATGAGTATGATAATCATAAGATCCTAGTTTGAATTCCACTAAAGACAGCCGTAAGTAGTTCCACATAAAAGTTTTTTAATACTTACATGAGTTCCAAATTGTTGTATCTCTTGAACGAATCGCGGGACAGTTTAATGGAATTATTAGCCAAAATTCTGTAGAGAAATAAAGAAAAAATTATCTGATGGAGTTTAGTTAATGATTATTAATTGTTTGCACTCATCAAAGTAATGTATACTGCGGAGATGTGGACTACAAGCTTTTACTATAAGGTTGTTATTAATAGTATTTGCATAACAGACACTGGCAACATAATTTGCTAAAACTTTGTCCGAAATTATGAAAAGTCTAAGGATTTTAAACAATCTTAAAATCTTTCATTTCGTGTAGCATTATAATATAAAAGTTTAATAACAGGTACTTTTTGGTAGTAATTTCGTTTTTAAAATCACAGGAGTTAAAAGTTATAAAGTGGACTTCCAAAGGTCGTCAACATTTTTTTCCATTTCAGACAAGATTGAACTTATCATAGGTATTTTAAAAGAAATGCACGATTCATATTCCATTTATTTATAATCTAAATCGCAAGTCATGCTACGTATATTTGTTACTCAGTAAGACGGTCTGAAGCAAATACAAATTACATTTGACTGAAGTCCTTTTTAACAAAAAACTGAATATACTTTATGCACCAATATTCCTCCGAAACCTTGGTAACTATCTAAAAAACAACCCAAAAGATCACAGTCCCCAAATCATTCTTATATTTTGCAAACCCCTAAATTTCGTTATCAATTAAATGGAAGTCTCTTGTGTGCCGAGAAGAAAAAAAGTTCTCTTGCACCTTCATTGTTTTTAAATTACCGCGAATTACACTCTGGACTTACAAGCGGGTCACGTGTGTGCTGATGTCCTGTGGAACTTCTGAGAGCCCCAGATACCTGCAGAACACTCGGGTCATATCTGTGCACGTGCAGCCACGTGGAATGCGATCCAGGTCTTGTAACAACAATTATTATAACACCAAAAAAATTAATGATTAATCTTCTTGGACATAATCCGTATTTCTATTTTAATTAAAAAGTAGGTTTTGTAGACCGGACTCTATCTCTTTTCTGAGGCAAAAACTGACTCCATTGGGCCCAATCGATAGATCTAACCTCTGTCTCCGGTCCCAAAGGACGAATGGATGCATATTAAATGGTCTATAAAAAGTTTGTATGTTAAGAATAGGGTTTATCTTCATCCGGAATTCTAATATGTTAGAAATATTATGCTAGGAAATAAGAAAGTAACATATTTACAACGACAGTAGTTTTCAGCTTTGCTTTGTTTTTTTCATCTGAACCGCAAGGCCATGAAAGATGGGAGTCTCTTAGAATGAATTACTATTTGCCTCCACTTATGGTAACATCGCCATTGTGGTCAGCGAGGGTATAAACATTGTCAGGATTTATATTCCAGCAGTAACTTAGCAGCAACTTCCTGCTGTAAAGAATACTATACACCTATGTTCATCTATTATTGAACCGTACTCTAGATGAATATAAATGGATGTTTCCTAGATTTATCTAACAACAGAATAGTAGATGTTGAAATAACTTTTAAAAGCATCAAAACAAATTGAAATTACAACATTGACAATCAAGAAGTTCGGTGAGGAAGTTTGACGCCAGTTTTCCTGCAAATGCTGCAGTCTATCGTGTGGCTAGAAACTATGCTAGGGTTCACTGTTGACTGGCGACTTACAGTGCTTGACGAAATGTAGTGCTATATTGTGATACTGTACTCACGACATTTTTTGTTGTGTTGTTGTGTCTTCCTCTGGAGAACAACTTCCTGGACGAAGGCGTTTCCATGAATATCAGCTGAAGACAAACACATCGTGGTAAGACATGATTCACTAAATGTATGTGATGGTGGCTGATGCACATTAATTTCTAAGAACGGATTTGCCCGTATTTCAGGTGATCGCTTGTCATTATAGTTATTTCTTATTTTTTATTCTGAATATTAGTGTTAACAGCCGGGGTCAAAATTGAATTTCTTTGAATAAGAGGTCTAATTTGTATACTTTTTACCACAGTTGGAAACTTTACTACTTTACTATTAGCGACTGTCGACTGGTGAAGGCAACAGATGGTACTTAACCATTTCTACCACAAATCACGAAAACCGTCATCATATCACGTATTCAGTACACAAAGCTCATTCAATAAAAACATGAAGAGTAGTAGGTCTGTTCTGTGACGTCCACTATGAAACATTGCGCTTTTATCTCATTTCGACAGTGCTTCTACAAAGGCTCTCTGACGTGTGTTCCTAATCGACTACTCTTGTTGAATTGAAAGATTTCGTATAATCTTATATATGACGTCTTTCTGGTCACGAACTTTATGCATTACGTCACAGACTCTATACTATTACGGCGAAACTTACCAACACCAAATAAAATATTAGGTACATAAGGAAATAAGTATTATTCTAGCCTATTCACCATTTAAATGCTGCGTTTAGATATTTGAATCCACCTGATCTGAATGTAGGTTCTTGGTGGTTGAGGATATTAGTGAAAGAAGCCGTTCCGGCGACAGAAAAACTGTTAATAATTAAGATGTCTGTCTTCTGGGTTGTTGCGCCGTATAGTATGGTAGATGTTTGCCAACGTTTCGGAGGTCATACTGCCTCCGTCATCAGGACGATGAACCTCTGAAACGTTGGTAAACATCTACCATACTACACGGCGCAACAAATCAGAAGACAGAAATCTTCATACTCACCGCTGTGAAAACCTTAAATCTTATATAGACATTGGATTCATTTCCAGAAATGTCGGATAATCACCGGATTAATTTTCAACATTGGACTGATTTTCGGGAATTTCGAGCAAAGTCCGGGAGAGAAAGTGAAGGAACAACACAAGTAAATCTGACGCTGCTTACTACACGTGTACACGTTTTCGTCTTCACCATTCGGACAGTCGTTATGGCCGTTGCATATAAACCTCTGCGGGACACAGACTGTGGAGTTCCCGCAAGGAAATGTTCCCTCTGTACAGGGACCTGGAAAAGTAAAATAAATCTTTAGGGTCACAATTATATGTTTTCAAATTTTTATTTTCGCGTCTTGTCTGCCAGCAAGATTTTGTATCGAGAAAAGTGTCAATATATACTAAAAACGTTAAAATTGAACAGTATTCTCCAAAATAGATGTTTCTGTTTACAAGAGTATTTTGTTTTTCAGAGGAACTTCAATAAAGTTACAATGAAAATTTTCCATCCGATTTAAACATTTTCTTCTTAAACGTCAAAAGCAATTAGTTTATCCATTCTCCAGACAAAAGGTTGTCGTCTCTCTCATAATATAATGATTCACGTTTCTAGTTTCTATGTTTTCTTAGCAAACTTCAACTTTCTTCATTTAAATGTTTCTAGCCCTCGGGAATGAAAATTGTATATAAGCATAGGCTAATATTTATTCGTCCATATAAACAAACAAACACGAGGAGACAGGCGCCAATATCCTGCAATGTATTGTTATAAACTAATTTCTAGTCGCATACAAATCAATAAAATAAAATTGTTTGTTGGAACTCATGAAAAAAATACTGGAATATGCACACAACGGTGTTAAACATACTCCCTCTAGCTTCTGATGTGTCTTACCGACTTACCACTATCCTGGCTGAGGAAGAAGGTGACGGAAGCCAACATTATGACGATGGATATGAGTCCAACGCCACACACCACACTCCTTCTGCACTGCATCCTAGCAACCGCGAGATGCACTGTCCAGCTGTGAACACGATCTTGTCCTGTCACAACGACAATGTAACGCACGCGCCAGGATACCCGTGGAAAAACAAGAACACTGACATGCACGAGGAATAGGATGTTAACTCTTTAAATTCCAGAGGTAACTGTATGTTTCACCTCCTTCCGTTAATCTATTACTCTGCGTTTTACGTATTTATCAGTTCCACATGATTCTCAGTGCAAACTTAATTAATTTCCTTAAACAGCATTAACTAATTTATCTTCGTAACGGAGATGTGGCGTTTTGAGGAAATAAATTAATATTTAAATACCGTTACCCGTATTATTTAGACGCACTTCGACAGCAAAGGTTAACCACAACGAGACCACAATATTGCACATCACGAACAAGAGGAACCCGTGCATTTATTTAATACATTTTCTGATTAACTGTCTGGAAACTAGAAGTGGGTTCTGTAAACACGTGTTGTCTGTGTGTCCCACACTGCACAATGCAGACACCTATAATTACTACGTCTAAGCACGTTTATTCGTAATTAAAATGAAAGAAAAATAGTAATTACTTACATTGAACATTCGCAATTAAAAAAATATGCATTAATTTACATGGGATCATTGAATTGTCAGACATATATGGGGTTTGCAACTAGGCTGAGTCTCCCTGTTTGTGAAAGATGCAACGGCTGACCCCAAAACTCCGTGTCATTTCTACACATTTGGCTTGTCACACCACGCAGCAAATGGAGAGCATAAATTATGAAGGTCCTCGTGTAATTTTTCATCTTCGCGTTACTTCCTCCCTCCATAGGCCCAAATATTCTTAAAATATATGTTCATACACCTTCAATACATAGTTTCCCTTTGGGGCGAGACACCAAGAATCACATCCATACAAAACAAGAAATTGCAAGAGTATAAGGCACGAGGCTTTCACGGCGAGTAGAAGTGATAAAACCTTCTCCAGTTATTAGCCGCGTCATTTCAGAGCAGAATTCCGTCTTGGCAAGGCTGATCGCCCGAGATTTTAACAGCTTGTAAACTATTCGTCGTCTACATTACAGTCATTGATTCGACTCCAGGAAATTAACGTTCCTCCATTTGAATAAGACGGGAAGATCTGAAACATGCAGTGCGGCCAATAGCTGTTTCAAACTTACTAAACTAAGTTACGAAAATAATTAGAGGTACCAGTAATTTTACGTAACAGAACTGAATACCTTGTGAGTAAATTTTTGATATAAACTTGAACACGACTGGATGATAATTGAAAAATCTTCTCTTGCCAACATGCTGGCACATATGATACAATTTTCTAGAGCCTTTACCAATTGATCCCAATTTCTGTCATATCATAATGTGAAAGGTCATATCGTTAAAAAGAACTCAATATTTCAAATATCACTTGCTGTTAGTGCAAGGAAGAATCTCTAGCATCCCTCATTCACGCATTAAGTGTTGTAAGAAGCGTGTACATGCGCAGTACAATGTGCCACTGAGAAAGGAAGTTAATCAGAAAGCCATAAAGTTGAGAATGCATTAAAATACGAAGATGAAGATATCACTGTGCTACAAGGGCATGGAGACAATCTCGACACATTTGGTGCCAGATTAAAGTGAGTTGAAGATCCTGCCAATTTACGCCTGAGAAAGAAATTCTTCAATACCGGAAGAGGAGCATTCATGTTAACCATGTCAGCCTGGCTAACACATAAAATGCATCGATAACCGACTCCAACCAGCCCATCACAAGCGGTATTAGCCACCTCATTCCCCTCTGCTGGCAATCAGAAGAGAGAAGAAAAAGTGTATGGTGATCAAATCAAGGAGGATGAGATGGACAGTGCTTGTAGCACGTACGGGACTGATGACAAACATTTCTGCTGACATAAAATTATTTTTATATGCATAAGATGTCAATTTCGTTGGAATCAACAACTTTTATTTGAAACAATTTTTCAATATGATTTTTACTTAACACGATATAAACGCCGCATGCCGTGCGATATCTGACGCAGGCGGGATTAGCTCTGCGACAATATATCAAGGCTAATGACGTTTGAAAAATAGGAAAGAATGCATTTTAATATGAATTTCCATTGGAAAACATATTTCTATTTTTCACTAATTAACATGTTGGCTCCATTAGAGTCGTATTTGGGTCTCCTGAGAATAACTTTCGGTACAATAAGAGTCATCAGAGTTACAGAACTTATCATTTATATGAAGGCTCAGTTTTCATAGAATGGAATAACGTATTTCTGACGTCACACCTAGGAAGGAAAGATTAACGCAGTCTATGAGAGCCAACAGAGTGTCACATCGTTCATACAGCAAGGATTCTGAATTTCTACTTACCAATTTTGGGTGAGGGTAACCGTGGGTCATGGGACAAAATTTAAATTTGAGGGGGAAAAAATCAGTGTTAATAATATGCTATATTTACACCTTTTGAAATGCTGGTTAACAGACATTTTAATACTTTTAGGCAATATACAAGTAAACATAAAAAATTACTTCATCCTCTTCAGTAAGATCATTTGTATTCATGTACATACATATAAGTATTAAAATTAACAAAATTCTTGGATATAATACACCATTCTCACAAACCTTCAGGTTTAATGTACATATAAGTATCGTAATTCATTTTGGGACATGCTAACATTAATCACTTTAACCATGTTTTGTTCATATAATGTACAATCATAAACAATAAAAAAGATCTGTACAAAAAGTGATAGTGGAACCACGGTTACGGAGAATTTGGCGTAAATACGTCTATACGGAAAGGAAGTTTATATATTGGCTTTATTCTAAATATTTCCTTTATACATGCTTTACAATTGAGATAAGTTTGATTAAGACATTGCTTATTCAACTTCAATTAGTTACGCTTGAAATGGGTCTGTAGTAGCTGAATGTAATGTAAAGTAATGTAATGTAATGTAAGGTAATGTAATGTAATGTAAGGTAATGTAATGTAATGTAAGGTAATGTAATGTAATGTAAGGTAATGTAATGTAATGTAAGGTAATGTAATGTAATGTAAGGTAATGTAATGTAATGTAAGGTAATGTAATGTAATGTAAGGTAATGTAATGTAATGTAAGGTAATGTAATGTAATGTAAGGTAATGTAATGTAATGTAAGGTAATGTAATGTAATGTAAGGTAATGTAAAGTAATGTAATATAATGTAGGGTAAGGTAAGGTAAGGTATTCACTTATGAAAACAAGGGGGGAAAATGAGGAGATGGAAGGCCAACTCGATATTTTATCCACACTTCTTCAACAAAGACAAGAAAGTGGAGTCTTCTGGTTCTTGTTTATTTAACATGCTTTCAGTTACTGTTACATTACATATGAGCCAATGAGAAACTGAGACGATTAAACAGTTGTGGCTTATTTTAAAGTATTATTTCAGGGCCTGAGGAAAACCACGGAAATTCTGTCAGGATAACTCGTAACCTGGCTGAGATTCAAACCAGATATAAGCCAAATAAAAATCTAGTAGGATTTGAGGTTTTCAGTCGTGAGTCTGAAGATGGCTGTCTTCTGGGTCGATGTGCCGTGTAGTATGGTAGGTAAACATCTACCAGACTACATGGCACAACGACCCAGAAGACAGCCATTTACAAATCTAGTCATACCATGATGCCCAACAGGGAACTGTAAACATGGCCAGGGTCAAATTCTTTTTTTGAACATTCATACTTTACCAGCCATAATGTGAGTTCACACATTTTAACTAGTGTTTATTTTACGTGAAAAGATGCGCTTATGGTATCACCATGCTTGTCTGTGTCTGTTCCCTCAGGGAAGCCAATACTAAATGGGATGTAAACAAATATCCCTACTCTGAAAATGTTATTGTTATAAGCAAAAGCACTTTTCAAAAGAAGTCTAGTATCCTTTCTGCATGTCATAGATTACCCACAGAATTATGTCAAACATTTATTTAAATACTGTCACAATAATTTAAAAATTTGCAGACAATATATATGATCAGAGAATAATGTATAATACATTTTTCCAAAAATATTTAACTGTGTGAAAACAGTAAACAAATAGCATAATGTTAAACAATGGTTAACAACTCACTGCCACATTGGTCTGTCAGTGTCTTTCATGTGGCCCACTTATGCTTTTGGCATTGTATCTTTCTGTGCAAGGAAAAAATACTGACACCTATATCAATTATGTTGTTTAATTTAAATAGGCAATTAATACAAACAAACAAAGTTATCAAAGAAAATAAGTGAGTAATATGTGAACCTGTTTGTAGTCACATGTAAATATCAGTTTTAATACTTTATAAGCAGGCTGCCTGCAAGTTGATTTGAGAGGATGAATGTTGCCTTAGGTCTGAAAAGGCTCAGAGCCACTGCACTACATAGTGCTTTACTTCCAGTTAATTACTAATCATTTCTTCTTGCTTTATGGCTTGGGACTTCACGTGATGAATCAATTGTCTGACACCAACCATCCAAGGACTGCACAATGATACATGATCCACCATAAGTCCCATGTGGATATGATCTGCTAGTTCACCATTACCATTCTGGAGGGCTGACAAACCAATAAATGCATTAAAATGAGAGAAAACCTTTAAATTTTTAAATAAACAATTTACATGCTATTTTGATGTAAAATTAAGAAGTGTGTTAAATGTTACTTTATATTTAGTACAAAGTTAAAAATTTATTTGCTTGACCCCTTTCCTTCCTTAATGAATTTTAAATTAAAAGTATTTTTTAATGCCTTAGTTCAGTTTTAAATAAATAAATACAGTGTGAAAGCTTTTTCATAATTTTTGCAGTTTTTTTCCTTCAAAACACTGCAAGTAATACATCCAAACCACATGCTTCTAAACTTAGAATCTAAAATACATGTTTTAACCTAACTTTTACACCAGTCTACTGTCCCCACAGGAGGCCTTATGCTTCACTTAGGAGTGAATAATTCTATGAATAACATATATTTGTTTCCACATACGACTTTGATAACTAAGCACTCTCTTATCTCATGCAATCCAAATGAGTAAATCAGAAAAAACACAAAGAACCAACCTTCAGTAAGTTGGATCAGCTTAACATAAATCTCAGGTTTCAGTTTATCTTCCTCCCACATCCTCTTCATTACATCTAATCTTCTTCTAATTTCACTTCCATTGTTCTGAAAATGAATAATGTTTAGGCTTCAACTGAGCAACGACAACAACTACAAATAACGTGCTTCATGAAATCGACGACAGACTAATACATGCAACAGTTTCTATGCTTCATACATCATATTCTAGTGGCCACACTGATGCACACGAGTAGTTCTTAAACTGTCTGTACTATCACCATAGTCATGAGAGACAAAAGAGTGTTGGTCCCTGTTTACAGTCATATATAATGCCTTCCTATAAAACAAAAAGTCTTCCTTGTTTACATGTTTCTTCTTTATCCTTGGATAGGGTAGTGGAGGAAACTCATATAACCTCAATCTCTGTTGAAAACCAACCAACACATGAAATGAAGCCAACAGTCGATTCTGAATAAGTTTACGCTTCTTCAAGTATGGAAATAAACAAATTGGATTTCCTGTGACCTCCCCTTCAAATATTTTCTGTGCAACCCGCAGAAATTTTCAGGAATGTGTGAATAGGGATCTAGGATTATATGTTGAGACAAAAAATTATGTGAGTTGTGAGTTGTTACAGTCTTTCATTTGTCAGTATGAAAAAGAGAGAATTTTTCTAAACATCTTCAAGCCCTGTTCAGTAAAATATAAAGAGATGCAGTTGATGTTATGTGTTTCATATGGTGAAAATTATTTAAACCAATCTATTAACAAATATTAGCTGAATATTTATATAAAATTATTGTAATGATACAGTGAGTTTGAACTGATGGTAGTTATTATATTTACACATGTAGTGTCCTGCAAATTTTATCAACTGTTTGAATCAACAGACTTAAATTAGTTCAAAATCCAATTAGGTCTTCCAACATTTGGAATAAGAACAAGATGCACCATGCTTGAATTCAACAATCAGTGTCTGCATGTTATTAATCACAAGACCTTGAACTGAAATCACCGGCATAAATGTACCCAGACTTAGGAATTCCTGAATCAGTACTGGGCATTGAATCAGATGTAGTAGTACATCTCTCATGTTATGGCTGAGAACCACTGTCAAGTCAGTTTATTCTAATCTTAAAGACAACCTGGCAAAATATGTTTTAACTCAGTATAAGACAAACCTGGAAATTATGGGCTGAATCTTTAAGAATCTGCTCAAAACCTTCCATTACTCTTTGAAGAGCATCTTCTTTTTGTAAACTCTGTCCAGGATTTTCCTCAGTTGTGTTCCTTGTTGTGGTGAGATGGTTTGCTATTGGAGGCACACCCAACATTATCCCAGAATCTATGTTGCTTGCAAGAAACATACTGCTTATTATTGGTGGCATGCTTGATGGTGACTGGGAACTCAGGGGAAATGCCACCCTCTTGTTCAAGAGCAGTCCCCTTTTTGGAGTCTTGGATTGTGTTGTTGCAGTAACAGCATCATAAGAAAATATAGGAGGATCATTCCAACCAGGATCATGTGTTACTGGAACAGAATGTATTACAAAACTTACACAACTGGGAAAGGATATAAACACACACCACTGTGTTTTGAAAACGTGAACCTGTACTGAATAATGAGCATGGGGAATATCAGAAGGGTTAGCTCAAGAATGTGAGTCGTATCATCGCAGAATTAAGTCACAAAACAGTAATCTAAATAACAAGTAAGCTACTAATTTCCCATGTTGCACCAAAGGAGAATATCAATCTAATGTATGCAGGACTGTTGTGCAGTGTGTGTAATACATAAATCTTTTGCAATTACAATTAATTTAAGTTATTTATATACAGAATATGCAAAATGCGGTCCTATTAAGTGGGTTATAGTCTATTTCAATCTGGCAAAACTGCCATTACGTTATATAGGCTGTTTACAAATCACCTTTAGTCTTCGACACATCATTATTTCCGTCCTCGAAAGAGTTCACGCTCATCTCGCAGAACCAAAATAATTAAATTCTGTGAATTATAAAACAGCTCACATCAATGTAATCTTCGGCATAAATCTTCGAATACTACGAACCAACACAAACACATATATATAACCATACTGACGTCTCAGCTATTAGGTCGTCAATGACAGCAGTAGCACCAACAGGGTGAAACATTTTCCCCCTAAAACGTACAGCTTTCTAAACTATAACTCTGTTTGGTGATATCCAGGTCTTCAGACCACAAGAAGACAGTCTTCATGACTGTCTTGTGGGATGTTGAGCTGTATAGTCTGTTATAAACTGACCGAGTTTGAACGGTGTGTATTGCCTCCATCATCAGGACGGACTGATGGTAGAGGCAGTAACCACAGTTTGTACCAGACAATATCCAAGAAGACAGTAATCTTAAAACACAATTATTTGCACCCCTTCCAGAAAGAATCCTTACAGGACGAGACTGTTTTGAGCATACGTCACATTGTTATGACCAGTTGTAAAATTTTTTGTGAAAATTCGATCAGCCGTTTCCGAGTCTTGTATGGCAAATATTCGGCTGAAAGACGCGACGGACATGGACTGACATACACGAACAGGCGCATAACGTGTTCTTCGCTTACGCTAAAGCGCTACACCTTATACAACACGTGTGCAATACCTAATGTTTAGTGGAAAAGTCAATGCGTTGGTACTCTGATAAGTGCTCCTTGTACTATCGATTATAAATGATTATACTTAATCGAGGAACATCGTCGGTGTGAAGTTTGTTGATATTGTTGTTATTATTATTATAATTACTACTGTGATATATGGTATTATTTATGTTGATAGATTAGATCATTTCTTGTATTTTTCTTCCTCTGGTTATTTCCGAGCTATTTGTTGAACGTCACATAGAGTTTCTTTGGTATTGCCGGTATGTTCTGTGTGATTTTACGATAATCATACCAGTAAAGCTCTCTTTAAATGTATGATGAAATGCACTTATCCAGGCTATAAGTGAAAACATTTAGGTGCATTTTAAATGTCAAGATAAGGTAAGAAATTTCGAGGCTTACATTATATTTATCCATCTCGGTACTTTTTGAAAGTAACTGGACATCCCGGTGTTCTCCGGTATCAGAACGTGATACAGTAGAACGCTACAAGTAGGCAAGGTTTTACAGTGAAAATGTAATGTTGTGTTTAAACTATATAAATAGAAATGTGAACGGAGTTTAACTGCTTTAGCGATAAATTGGCAGCTTTCACGTAATCTTCTAAGTTTTTAAATTGGAAATTCTATTCAATTTTATTGATAGTAATATACCCCTTTTTCGTTTCTTTGACCTTGGCAACTTCGTCTTATATACCAGGTATTTAAAACGAATTTGTTATAATGAGCTCCAAGAAACTAAGAAAGATACTACTACCATGCACATATTGTAATATCTGACGACTTTTTAATTTATTACAGTGAGTGCTTTGGAATGTTAGGGAGCTACTACAATGCCTGGAAAGGTAAAGGTAAAGATTCTTGCCGGACGTAACTTGCCTGTTATGGATCGTTCCAGTGATACTACAGATGCTTATGTAGAAGTAAAACTGGGGAACACAACATACAAGACTGATGTTTGTCGCAAATCATTGAACCCACAATGGAATTCAGAGTGGTATCGATATGAGGTAACATTATACACATAATGAGATGGCTGTAGTTCATATGATGATCACATTTTATATCATTTTTGTAAGAAATGAAGGAATGTTTGTAGACTATCTAACATATCTTGAGGTTGGGTAATAGTTGTGGATGACCATATTCTAGTCGTAGTGGAAATGAAATAATACTGCTATTAAGGCTGACTCACACAATGGGACAGGACACTGTCAGAGTATTTTAGACCAAATATAAAAATAGTCCTTTCAATAGGAATCCTGTGGGGAGGACAAATATAGTAGTACAGGTTCACAAGTTGGTGGAAACTGTTCTGTTTTATTTCTTGAACAGTAGCCAATGGGAAGTGAGACATAAAAGGAGAATGTTAAGGGCTGGTCTCTTTCTGGGGTTGAAGGAGTAGTTTGTCTCATAGGTTGATGACTCAGGCCTCTGTCCCTCCAGTTGATGCTATATAACCTGTACATTTGGGATAGAATTATTAAATATATAAAGAAACATTTAAATGGTGTGACCAAACCAATGTCTGGATCAGCGTACTGTATAAATTTGCTATTTCTTATTTTTCAGTTGTGCACATAGTCATTAAATTGTTTTAAATGTTGCCATAATTCTTACAGGTTGATGACTCAGAGCTTCAAGATGAACCGCTGCAGATCCGTTTGATGGATCATGATACTTATTCAGCTAATGATGCAATTGGCAAAGTGTACTTGGATCTGAATCCTTTGTTACTACCTGTTTCACCAGCTCCTGTTAAAAGTTCATGGAATTCGGAGAACACAACAACATCAAGTACAAGTTTAACAGGAGGTGAGTAATCAGGGAACTGTTGAGCCATCAATATTAAAATTATAAGTTGCATATTTACTTTTATTTATTTACAGAAACATGTTTGCCCTCTCATGATTGTATTATGCTATATATATATATTGATGTTTTCTTAGCACAGAGTGCCTGTAATTAATTAATAATGGGGAGGTTATGTCTTTCTACATGCTTGGTCACATATTTTATTCTAAAACTAATCCATAAAAAGTCATAAGACAAGCTGATCCAGACTGCCTAGGAACAAAGAAAAGAAACAGAAAGTAAGGTTAGGATCCTGGATCATGAATTGAAACAAACATATACAAAATGTCTTCAAACTATAAAAATAGGTGATGAAATAAAAGACACAAGAAGAACTGTGATATTAAAGAAATCAATGAGAAAATCCAAGAGACAAGATTGGGATAAATTTGTAAAAACATCAGAGAGGGGCCTTACAGGAGCTCAGGGAATTTGTGTTCTCCATTTTATGCACAGTATGAGCAGTGTGCATGTGTAGCATTGGATTGAATACTGCCATGCAGAATATTTTTGATCAGTGAATGTCTGCTTTGCCATTGTGTCGCATAAACCAAGCAATGATGAAAAGAGTCTTTTATTTCTATGGAGTGTAGACATCAAGGACACAAATGCAGATAATGATTGATTCTAACAGGACAGTAAACCTGTTGCAAATGAAGAAAATTAGTGATGCTGAAAATGCTAAAAAAATATAGCAAGGACTGTTTTACAGTGATTGACCACAATTAACAGGACATAACTTTTTTCTGCTGTAAGGAAGGGGAATGTTTCTTACTTCTTCACCTACTTGTTGATGCACCTCACATGAACAGTGTTACCAAGTCTACAGAGCTTCATCTTTTATATTCCCGCATGTAGCACTTTATGCAATGCAAATCATATTGTTGAATATGGTGCTCATCCAGTTATTTATTCAGAAATTGTAGAAAAAGGTTAATGTGGCATTTTGATAAATGTAGTAAATTTATGGAAAAATAGTTTGACTACGTACAGTGTTTTGTCTATATTGTGATTTGCTATACCACAGTTGGTTTACATCTGCAATTAAAGTTTACTGTAAGTGAATATCAAGCCCAGACATCACAAAGGATACAAGATTGAAATACATATTTCCGTACACCTAATTGGAGTGCACTTCATCCTTCTTTTATTTAAGAAAGAAGAGGTCCAAGTACCCGTAATTAAACTTTTTTTGTGATGATCATCATTTTTCTCTTAACTTTTCCAGTACTTTGACTTCATCCAGACTCGCTTACGTCTACAGAGAGTTATATAAATAGTTTATTTTTATGCAGAAAGTTTTGGTTTTCTGCTTTTCTATCCAGTGAACATCAGTACTGGAGTAAGAAGTTAAACAGTGGTTAAATTGTCTCTTGAAAAGAAGCTAGATTGAAAGGTCAGGTATGGTATAAATTTTTCCAGAAATGTTCACTTCTTGTGAAGAAACTTTCATTTTTTGGGTATCATTAATTCTTTTACGATGTTAATGTCTTACAGGATCTGTGATGTCAGGCTGGATACCGGTGTTTGATACAATGCATGGCATTCGTGGTGAAGTAAACATCATTGTAAAAGTGGAACTGTTCTCAGATTTCAACAAGTTTCGCCAGTCTTCATGTGGTGTACAGTTTTTTTGCTGTGAGTAGAACATATTAGTCCTAAGGCTGTTTTTCATGTTCTGCATGCAAAAGAGTGTCAGGTGCAGTAGATGTTCATATAATCATATCACTGTACTTTGTCTTTTTTATTATGTGGTTGCTTGATCCTGTACTATCTGAAGTATTCAAAGCATTGATAAATTAATAATAAGTAAGATTTATTTGAAATGCAAATAACATTTTAGGTTGTTTTTATCATAATGTGATAGTATGGACAATAACTAAAATATTTAACATTATAGGTTAAGTAGAGTGTTTATTATTTACCTATAATGCCATTTGACATACTAAACTTTGTGTCCTATGTTTCCTGTACATGCATTATTCCTTTGGTTTGGCAAAAGCAAGTGTTTTATTACAATTATTCACTTGATTTAAGCGAAAATTCTTTCATTTGAATTCTGGGCTTATCTGGGTATCACATTTTCTTACAGTTTGGGTAGCAAGGATGTTTTCTTATAAAATTACACTCTTTTGGCCTGGGATGGGAACAGAAGTTAGCTATGACGTGCAGATGTTTTATGATCAAGTAGTTGTGTTGATTCAGTTGCGATGTGTTCCCAGCTGGCCTGTATAATATTATGCTTTGGTAGGTTGATTTTCTGGTATCTTTTCAGTTCAGTTTACGTTTTTCATACTTCCATAACATTGTTAATCAGATGAAGAACCTTTTCTGGGTTTTTAACCAAATTTGAAAGGAAATGGTTCAAAGAATTCTTTATTTGGGAATGTATTTAACAGATGTTCAGTTTGTAGATAATAATGTAGTTTATAAAAGTACAGTATATTAATACACCACTAACTGAGTGGGAAATAATATTCAGTTTTTTGTTTCTCTGTAGTGTTATTTTTATGTGATTGTGTTTTGGCTGAGGTGGGTAGACACTGACTTCTCTCTGAAGAAACCCATGCTATCTCTGGGTGACTTCTTCTTCTTCTATGGCTCTCCAGTCTGTATTCGGTCCATGGCCTCCTAAATTCTCCTCTTCCATTCGGTCCTCTGTTAGGTCTGTCTGTCCGAGGCTTTGATTGAGGTTTCGAAACATGTTCCTTTTTACGGTGCAAGGTTGTTAGACTTGCGACAAACCCCCAACCTGGAGTACCTGGGTGACTTCAGGTGAGATTTTAAGTTGATAAAGTGGCACTAGAGGTGGTTTTCCTTTGAATTATTTAGTTTTCCCTTTTAATTTTCTTACCATCATTATTCCATACATGTCCATCACTGCCCCATGAGATGTATGACAGGCCTGGCCAAAGAGCATATTATCATAACCTCAGTCCAAAGTTAGGGGCTTTGCCTTCGACGGGCACTTGGCTGGTCTTGGTGTAAAGATTGTTTAGTTGTAGTTTTATAAATTATGTCTAATAATGTGGACTTTGATGTTATGAAAAATGTGTTTAACAGTAAGAACTAAAGTGTTATCTTTTGTTGATGAATCTGGACCTTACCTGTATAATAATCACATGAATGAAAATAAATGTGTTATTTCAAATATGAGCAAAGATGTACCATCTGAGTCAGTGTGATTACATACAACCTTCAGCAGATGATGACAGTGACAAAGCTTGTGCATAACTTGTATCTCTGAAAATACATTTCACATATGTGGAATGAAAATGATATTCTTTGCAGCCCCGGTTATTCCTCAGGGTTACCTCGCTCAAGTTGTTCATGGGTTTGTGGAAGAACTAGTTGTTAATGATGATCCAGAGTACCAGTGGATAGACAAGATTCGTACTCCACGGGCATCCAATGAGGCTAGACAAACTCTTTTCTTCAAATTATCTGGAGAGGTACAACGAAAAATTGGACTAAAAGCATTAGACTTAGGAGGAAATGCTGTTATTGGGTAAGATTCTGTGTTAATTTGAAAGTGTTGTAAAGCTTAGTTTTAAAATTTTAATCACGGTAATGCCTGTTTGGAACAATCTGCATTAAACAAATTCTGCCTCTTTTTTTTAAAATATCACTGTTACAAGAGTATACAGTGAAAATTAGTTTCTATCTGTTTATTGCTGGAACAGAAATGAATAACAAGAAAGTTGATGTTTGTTTTTTGTTTATGTAATTTGGCCCCACACTGTTCTTGAAATTTATCTGGTATGGGACATTCTGGCCACAGGTGAGAGATATATACTGTGTCGCAGAGCCAGATTGGCTCAGGCAGTGTAGGGACTGACTGTGGACTGGATGACTGAGGTTTGATCCCTAGCAGGGGCAAAGGATATTTCTTCTAGCTTCGGCATCCAGTCTGGGTCTGGATTGATTTGTTCCTAATATTTTCCTTATTAGTACACACAATTATTTCCTGATCTTTGAGAATATTGTATGAAACTTATTCTGAAACACTCAACAATAAGCAATAACATCTGATTGAGTTTGGACTAACTTTCTGGTATGTTGAAACTTAAAAATTCATTGCTACAAAAACAGAAAACTTGATGTTGGATTCTATTCTTGGTGGATTCAGTTAACATTATTGTAACTTATTTTCGCAAGAGCTGATAGCATCTTTGTATCAATTTCACAGATGTTTACCCATCTCAAAGAAATATACTTTGGATATAAGCTGGAACTGTTGGAAGCATATATTGAATCATATTGTGCAAAGTTTTATAGAAATGCAAAGAAATTGGTTACAGTATTTGCAAATGAATTGCAGTTGATGTGTAAAATTTTTCTTTTGGACTTATCCATTTTTACAGTTATAAAACTGTATTAGTTGTAATTTAGACAATGGACGAAGTCCAAAAGAACAGTTTTACACATTATAATACATCATCATTAGAAACCTTCTGTTTGTGCCTGTTATTTATGGCTGTTGAGAGTAATATGTCACCAGTTTAATAAAATGTTTTATGTAAAATGACAGATAAATGTCTTCGCTTGCAAAAAATAAAATTGCAACTACCAGTATTTTGTTATATGCCACAGATATAATCAGTGCTTTGACTTGGAAGGAGAATCTGGTATTGTGGTGCGAGGGATTGGCACAGCTGTTACATTAACAAAATTACAAGAAATTTCAGCTCCAGCTACACTTCCGCTTGATATGACAGCTATGGACGAGTAAGTATATTTTTAAACAATGATATGCAAATATTTTTGTCATTGTATTTAATTTAATTTCATAATTTAGTTAAGCCAGTTTAATTATTTTACGTGTAGGATATTCTTCTTCTTCTTCTTCTTCCTCCTCCTCTTCCGTTTCTTGACCGTTACTTCGGTCTTCCAGTGCCTAATATTTTCTTCCATTCTTCTCTATTTTCCCATCCTTCAGGAGGTAGTTTCCACTCTATCATGGTTCTTGTAATTCTGTCGTTCCATCCTGGTCTCGGTCTCCCTCTCTTCCTTCTCTCTTTTGGTTGCCATTTCATAGTCATTTTTTGTAACCTTTCCTTCTCCATTCTTTGCATGTGTCCATACCAAATCAGTTGTCTTTTCTCTATCTCCTCAATTATATCTCGATCCATCCTCATGATTTCTCTAATCCTTTCGTTCCTCACTCTCTCTCTTCTGGAATTTCCAGCTGCTCTTAGGAAATCCATTTCCATTATTCTCAACTTACTTTTTTGTTGTTCCGAGAGTTGCCAAATTTCTGCTCCGTCAAGAGAGGATATATGTACTTAAAAAAATTACATACGGTTATAAGAGCTGAGGTGAGAGTTTGACATTTGAAAAAATTAAACAGGTTATTATAACAGTGACTCTTGAGACTTCTATTTGGAACATACCCAGTTTGAATCCTAGCTTGGCCATTTTTTTTGTGTTGCTCAGAAACATATAGTTCTTTATGTAAAGTGCCTGTTATTGTCCACATTAACCAGATTGGGAATGTATTGACAAATTGTAGTAAAACTTGTGTATAAAGTGAAGCTTTTGCGGTGACTGAAGTTGATGAAATACTCTCGGGCTACAAGCCGTGTCATGTAGCTGAAAGGTGAATAAATCATATATTCTGCCAACGTTTGGAGAACAATCTCTGTTCTCATCCTCAGGATTACTGTTGCTTACTAGCTGATGGGGACTGTAGTAAAACTTTCTGATATCTTTTTTTGTGAAAATGTGTTTACAGTTGCTGAGTTGTTACACGCAGACAGACATGGCAAAGCTAATACATACATTAGTAGTTGTGAATGTGCCTGCGAGGAAACAACAACATTTTTACTGATAGATATCTGTGGATTTCTGGCACGTACTTTCTATGATCAGGTACACACAGTAAATTTCTTAAATACAGCCTCTGTACTGGAAAGCTTTCTCATTTATGAGAGGCAGAGACCCATCAAATTAATTTGTGAAATTGTTGTGGTTGTTTTTCCTAAGACATTTCCACTGTATATGGGTTGTTGGAGGGAAATTGTACTTCCAAATTTTAGTTACAAACATGTTATTTTGTGCAGGAGTAATTTGAATATCTTCAGTGTTGTCTGAACAACAAATGGTAGATTATAAATAATCTGAAATTTATGTATTTCAAGTTTCAAACCAAACCTCAGCTTTGTGATGTGTTGGGCATACCTTGAATTTCCAGAGCTAACGTACACACCTTTCAATTATGCTTTATAAGTCACAAAATAAAAACATTGGTATTTAAACTTATTTCTCATAGAATAGTATGGTGTTTCAGTGATGAAGACTTAATTGACAGTTTTTGAGTAGTTGTAGGTGGAATTTCTTATTATGCCTTACATATTGCATTGTCCATGGATCTGGGAGCACCCTGTCGGTATTGATCAACTGCCAACAACCAGCAGTACATAAGGCATATATAGTCATATTCTTAGGCAGTTCAAGTGTGATTTGTGTTTTTATTATCTAATATATTTATAGTTAATTTGAGTTACATTGTGTTAATTGCTGTAATGTTTATTGATTATACTACTTGATTTTTAGCCTTGTAAGTTTTCTGTGATGAGTTGTATCCCATCCACAGTATTTAATGTTTATATATTTAGGATGACCTGGTGGAATATTTGTGTTATCAGTGTTAGCTAATATCAACAAAGATTTTGAAGTAAAATAGACACATCTTCAGAATTAATGTGAAACATCTTATATTTAATGCCCTGTTGTGGTAAACATTAGATGATACAGAAGTTTATGCAGAAGAAAAAGTAAGAAAGAAGGAAAGAGTAGTTCTTTGCTTGTATTGGTTTGATTCTCCTTATAATTATGTTTTGCCTGTATTTTAGTCCTTTCTTGTTTATCATTGTACATTGGTTAAAATTAGAAACAGTGAAGCATAATTTAATTACACATACAAAAGCTGAATAGATTCAGGGAAAATTAGATAAAAATCCTTTTGCTTTCAACGGCTTGTTTATAGTAAGTGCATGAATTTAATCAAGAACAGTATATACATTGTCATGCAGTTTCAGTAAGTATCATTAGCACACTGTCTCTGGTCAGCACAGTGGATTAAAACATGTCTTCTGGTTTTTCTCTTTCTCTCCCTTCCCTATTCAATTACCAGCATGGTTTCAGCATCAGGTGTAGATGATAGATGCTTTGTAGAACAAAGTAATAGTGGCTTGCTACAGCCTTATGAGTTATGTGTGGCTCCGCCTTCACCCAAGCTTTGTGTTACCCCTCCAACTCCCATTGTTGTTTCTCCTACATCTCCTCTGCTGTCTGATGAACTGTCTAAAGAAATTCTTTTGCCAACTGTAGTTGGGCCAGAGTTTTCTGGTATTGTTAAATTGAAGCCTAAAAAGAAAAAGTCAAGGCATCCAGTGCTAGATTTACCTCGATATTTAGCTGCAGGCTCAAAAGTAGATCATTCACTGACACATCGTCACCTCGTACCACGCCCAGAATATGGACGCCATTTCTCTCAGCCTACTGTAGGCATTGGTTCATCATTTAAGAAAATGGGTCGATCCACACAAAGTTTAACAAGCACATTGGAAGAAGCATCATTCAGAAATCTTCTTCAGCAAGAAGATATGCGAGCAGAGGTACAACGTGGAAGTAGGTTTGCCAAGGGGCTAAGATCAATACGATTGTTTCCTCAGAACAAATTATCCAAGAGACTGATAGCCCTGAGAACAAGATTGCAGTCTGATTCTTCAATGGATGAAGATGAGACTGAGTTTAGTGATGTAGATATAATGGCTGACATGGTCCAGACCTCTTATGCTAAGAAGGCAAAGGTGAAATTTGAAAGACGACACAATAGGTCATCAAGTGATTCAATGGCAGCAACTATTGTAAGATCTTTAATGGAGAGTAACATGACTGGGCTGGATCGAGTTGTGGAGGTGAAAGAGAGTCCAGGATCTTCTCCTAGTTCACCTTCAAGAAGGGAAAGCTGTGCTAGTATTGAGCTTTCCAAACATGCTCCAGGATATTCTGCTAAGATATCTGAATTTGGTTGCTCACCAACTGATGCCGACCCTCCTGACGTCCATATAACTGTCTCCGAGTCCTTTCTTCGCCTTCCATCAGTTGATGATGGTCCGGAACTGAGATACGTTGATGGTCATCTTATCTCAAACACTTCTTCAAATGTTTCATCGACATCTGATTCATCAAGCTCAGAAGAGGATGCTTCAGAAGATTATTCACTTGACGTTCCCATTACGGATAAGTCACACTCATATTCTCTTACGTCATCTTCTGTAATTCCTTCTGAGATAAAGGACACAGACACAGGCACTGGACTTCATATACACCATGATAAATATAATGAACTTCATTCATCGCAGGTTGATGGTAGCAGTACTGATACACCAGTTGGTAAAACAACAGTATTTGAATGGAATGCAATTGACAGTTCTCAGGCAGTAAATACACCAGGATGTACAGCTATCAGTGAACAATCTTCAGATGTATATTGTTTTGATGAATGTAAGACAAACTCAAATTTGCACCAGCAAGAAAGTGGAACCACTACTACTTCGTTGGTGAAGGATATAAATCTGACGACAAAATATTGTCAGTCAGGTGACTCAACACAGCCTGATTTAACACAACGAAACAATGATTTTGAGAATGTGCCTTCTTTTGTTAACAAGACTACTGAAAACAACAAAACCAACTTTGAACAAAACTACAGTTTTTCTGTACCAATGAATGACAGCAGAAAGATGCAGGTACCTTTATCAACTGCGGGTGAAATATCGGTATCAAAATCAGATTATAATTTTACACCATTCTTGGATACAGTAGAGGTGAAACCTACTAATGAATATTTAATTTTTAAAGATTCTGGAATTAATAATAATCATCCATCATATACACCAGTGTCACAATTTAGTACAAAGATAATGCAGGAAAGTACATCATCTCTTTCTGGGGATTCTGTGCACACATTAGAAGTAATCAGTATCCCCAGTGAGTCCTTGTCACAATATGAAAAAATATCCGTAGCCGTTCCAGATCCTAGAATCACTCCTAGTGTGTTGCCTAATCAGGAGAATGTGCCATACATTTTTGCCTCAGCTGAAGAAGGGCCTGATAACAGCCTCTCAGCTGGTAATAGTGTTTCTGTTAGTCCTTTAATAAAAACAGATAGTGATACTAGTGCCTGTAAATTAGATGTTGTACTTGATGTTGGTGGTAGTTGCAAGACTAATAGTGTGATCGGTATGCAGAACTCGCCTGTTGGGAAGGTTAGTGTTGGTATGCTAAACATCCCCACATCACCCCTTCACAAGAGTCAAAGTGCAACCACTCTATGTTCATGCCCCACTGCTACTGTCGAGCATGATACTAATGATGAGCAAGTGAGCCCTTGCTGTGGTGGGGATTTGCAATTCCACAACATCAAGCATGGCCCCTGCTTCATCCCACTCAGCAGGCAGCAGCAGCAGCAGCATCAGCAGCAGTATTCTGGTGGAGAGGAGGACAGACAAACAGCTGGATCGCCTCAGCAAGTTGGTCCTGTGTCCGCTGCTGGCTCCAAGATATCACCATCTCCTGCCAAGTTGTCAACCCTTCCTGCCATCCACCGGAGGTCATCTGACTCAGATCTCAGTATCACACCTAAAGGTAAATAAATCTTTAGTCATTTGGCAAAAGCGGTCTTGTTGGTACACTTCACCAAATATTGTTAGGGTGATTATATTATCCTTGAACTTAATCAAGTTTCTTCTCCGACTGTCTTTGTTTAATGAAATTTAAATGCTCAGCATCTGGGCCTCTAGTAAGTTAAAGGTTGTGGAAGATAACATGGGAAAGAATAACAACAACTTATGTAATTATGGCAAGTTGAACATTTCCAACCATGCTGATAGCCCATCATTACTATGCTTCCATTTATTGATAGAAGGATCACAGTATTTAGCATATTATCTAGTGTAAAGCTTTTCTGATACATAAGTACATTGTATTGAATTTATCATGGCTTAGAGCAGTAGTATTCAACCTTTTTTGTTCGCGTACCCCCAGATATAATTTCTCTTCAACTTTGTACCCCCAAAGTTGTTGGTGTATAATTCAAGTTATACATAATATATAATTTACAGCTTAAATAAATTAAATTACTGATTATTCAGTGTTTATCATAAAATAATATTTTTTTTAAATTTCACGTACCCCCTAAGATGTCTTCGCGTACCCCCAGATAAGAGGATTCTTTGTATTGTTCCATACAGAATAAAAATTGGTACCAAAATAATTCTGATTTCCCTTGAAAAATTTTCTTAAAAATAGGAGTTTTGTGTAATTGTTGGTAATGAAACTCCAGGCTTTGTAAGTTGACACCATTTTCAGTTGTTAAACATATTACATAATTTTTACATACACTTACTGGATGTTGGAGGTTTTCATTACTAACAATATTTAATGTAGGTTTTTACTTCATTTTCTATTTTCTTTTTTGGTAGGAAGCTGCAGGAAACGTAAGTAATTTTAATGTTTGCGTGAGAGGACTATGTTCGTATAAGTTTATTTGTGTTGCAGGTTCGTTTATGCATTTAATATTTGCTGTATATTTCGTATCTTTTCTTAATAGTAAGTGTTTTCTGTTTAGTTCTCCTGTGCTGATATCATGAACCACGCATTACCTACTGTTTGTACGATTGTGGTAAATCAATCCTGTGTTATTTGAGTGTTTTGTTCTTATTTATGTTTAGGATAATGCACCAACATGTTAAAAAGCTTACAATTCAAAACATTACTCAGTCTGTATATGCAAGTGTTATAAATTGCATGATATCTTGATTATGGTCTTTAAGATTTCAAAATATTTGTTGACTTACATTTAGTGTAAGAAAGACTAGAACTTGTTTCTGCTGTTGAATTTATCTTTGTTTTTAAGACAGCGTATCAAAAGATTATAGTTGTCATAAATGTACTGTTTTAAGTTTTGAAACTGTCTGGTTTTTTGGACACCAGCGTTATATTAATTGTCACCCGATTCATGATACGTGCATGTTCAAATTAGTGTATACATTGAACACTGTGTATAACACACATTGTTTGTATGTGGCTACTAATGATTATTTAGGATATTTTTGTGAACTAACTACAGTTTGAATATTGTTTGTGTGAGATATACAGTGGATTCCGGTTAATTGGGTCACATTGGGACTATAACACTTTGGTTGAATTAAGTGGCTGTCTCAAGTTCCACGTAAAGAGTTAAAAAGGTTTGTTCTTTAAGTTGTGTCCCAAATAAATGGATGCCCCAATTAACCAGAATCTACTGGATATGCTGCTTTATTGTTGAACAGTGTACAGTATGATACATGTTAGTTGATACATTAATATGTGTTTGCCATTCAGAATTAGAGAGAAAAAAGTGCTTTATTTATAAATAAATTCAGGCATTAACTTTCAGCTGTGTTCAGTATTTCCTGAGGCCATAATTGTAACCATTGTTGTTAGTTTCTAGTTTAGATAATATTTGTTTTACAAGATTGTATTAGCAATTTATGAATTTCAAAGAAGTCTCTTTATAGTAACTTTATTTCTTACATATCTTAACCCTTTCGATTTTAATGCACTCTCTTGTACCATTATTAAACCACAATTTTGAATCATCCATATACACTGCAGTTTTCATTAAATGTGGAAGAGGACATTTAACTTTACTTTGTTAGGTGCAGGAACTGTTAGAATTTTTAATGAGGATATGACAAATTCTGGGACAATTTGTTTTTGTAATATTGAATTTAGAAGGAAATGACAAAATGTGGCACAGTTCAAGCTTCATGCTTTTGTTATTTAGTGGCAGAAGTATAAATTTGAGCATTGATTATTTTTGGTGTTCAAGTTAATATTGAAACTTAGAAAAATGTTTTAAATCATTGTTGTGCCATGAAGTTTCTTTACACTAACAGAATTTCCATTTCAATATATATGACCACCTGTCTGCAGTGATCAAGTGTATTACTCATGATACCATCCGTGTGTTCGAACAATTTGTGCATTTGTGACAATATTGTTAGTCCATTCTTGATGGCAACTGGTGTACCACACATTGGTACTCCTGGTGCAGACTTATGCTGTGTTGAGACCTGTATTTTGTAAGAATTGAAGTTCTTTAGGAAATTTGAGAGTAGGATTTGAGGTTTTCACAGTGGTGAGTATGAAGATGGCTGTCTTTTTGGTTGTTGCACCATGTTGTCTGGTAGAAGTTTGCTAATGTTTCATAGGTCCTTGCTGCCTCCATCATCAGGGCGATTGCCATGATTGATGATGGAGGCAGTATTTATCTCTGAAATGTCGGTAAACTTCTACCAGACTACACGGTGCAACAACCAAAAAGACAGCCATCCTCAATTTGAAAGTATATAGAAATTTGAATTCTGTGAAGGAATTAACATGATGATCAATGGGAGGATATTATTAGGTATTTCAGACTTAAATAAATATAAATTTGAATTGAAAATTATATTTTTCTTTTCAGCCATATGTGTAGGCAGAGTTTGAGTTTTGAAAGATAATTTCAATTTATGATACCATCTATTCAGGCAATGCTAAAAGAACCGAAGCAATTACTAGAATAATATTAAACATATGGAAATCCTTTCCTTTTTTTCAGGTAATAGCTTAACAGGAAGTGATCGTTCTTCGACTATGGGTGTTCACTTTCGACAGGGACCTACAATGGCTCGACCATCTTTGAATCAAGAGAGTTTGGATATGATGGAGTATCCATTCCTAACTATGTCAAAATATCCTCCAGGCTTCATATTACACTTAGGTATTGTGCTGTGTAATATCTTTATACCATAATAATTAATTAATATCATTGTTTATTCTTCTATACTATTTATTATTTCATTCTTAATATTCATGGACTATATTTTCAGGACCATACAGTTCACAAGGATTATATGAGCAAATAATTATGGAAGCAGTACTTACTAGTAAAAGTGCCTATTATTTGTTCAGGATTTTATTAAATAAACTGTCCTGAAATAATGAAATTATTTATTATGACTCTATTTTATTTCATTGATGGAAGAAAAAGTGCTAAAATAATATAAGGATGCAACATCACACAGATATCCACATGGAATTGAGGCAGTACACCATCTTGAGTTGCAGACCTTTTTTTATTTAAACCAAGCGCACTGTGCTGTCTCTGTCCTGCTGTAAGTCTTGATTTTTGTTTTCGCTGCAAGAGCGCCAGATGTGGCAAAGTTGGGCGCTGACAACAGATGCAAGGGATGCATTAAGTTTAAGTCTGTCTGTCGTTGCCATTTCCCACACATTTCAAGTACGGTTAACACATTTACAGGATTCCAGAATTGTAAAGCTGCTTTTGACTTATCCTTTATAATATTATGTCATATTTTTTACATTTGAATTTAAGTGATGTGTCTGTTACAGGTGGAACTGTCAGTTCAAGATCTGTAAAATTGCTAGAGAGAGTTACAAACTTAGAAGAACCTGAGACTCGAGATGCATGGTGGACAGAGATCAGGATGGAAGTGCGATCACATGCACGTGCTCTGGGCTGTAATGTCGTGTTGGGTTACTCGGAGAACACAAGCATATGTGATGATGTATGTGTTCTGAGTGCGTCAGGCACAGCAGCTGTGATCAGTCTACAATTCAATACAGTTTCAGAACCAGACACTGGTGGCCAGCATCTTGTTTCCAGGGTATATTTACACAATAAGGAACTTATGACTACCTCATTAGACAGGACGGATTTTGAACGAGAAAAGTCTACTGCCCAGAAAGGCGATGTAACACTTCCTTTTGTGGTAAGGAACATAGAATTATAATTGAATAAAAATTTTCTTGGATAATATCCAAGAAAATTTTTATTCAATTGACTCTTCACCATCGTCAAGAAGTTTTAGATTTGATATAGAATTATAAGTTATTTGATTATAAATGTTTGTTGTACCCATAAAAATGACAACAAAGTTTGGCATGTCTCAAAGACTAGAATTATATGTTTTTCCTTCTCAGTTATTAGTTATGGTTAGAATTATGGGTTTTTTTTATTTAAAAGCAAACCATTACTATTTGTTTCTTACTTTAAATACAAATTTATGAACATTAATATTGTCACCATGTTCATAATTCTTACATGGGAAGAATGCTTTCTTCAAATCTATTTGTTCAAAAGGCAATCCTTACACTTCCTATGTTTAGTGTATACAGCTTCCTTGATTAGAGAAATCCTGTTGTGATTAACAATATCATTAAAACTTGTGTAATTGTAATTATATACAGATTTTATTTGAAATCTTTTTTATATGAAATATGAGAGAGAAAAACATTTCTCATTCAGCATTTGGATTTGTTTTCATTAATAGACTTGTGCATGTGCAGTTAATGAACATTAAGGCCAATGAAGTATGAAAAATAGCAAAGAATGCATTTTTAAAATATGTGTACACCACTGAAATCCATTTATCCACATTTGTTCTGTTACGCTTATTGCTTGTCTTTCTTCTCTTGAACACTGAAGAACATTAAATGACATTTTGTTTAAGAGGTCCATGCCACGTTTTATAATCTGGTGAATACAGTACCTTGATTGTCATGAAAGCTAGTTTTGTGTTACAGTTGACATGATTTTATATAATAAAATTGCTAAAATCTCATAAACTTTGGTAAGTAAATTAATGCAAACTTGAATTTTTAAAAAATTACTGTCATATGGCCCTTTGCATATGCACTCTGAAAGTCTTGTAAAGATTTGTTTGAGTTTTGAAATCAGTTTGTCTCTGTATTTTCAGCCAGGTGCCAAAGTACGGCACCCATCTGATGGCTATGAACTGGAATCAGTTTCAACCTGTTCTATTTGCCACTTACCTTACAGTGAAGGTAGTGTACCATTTCGAGTCACGATGCTCAAATGTGCTGTATGTAGGTGAGTGAGATTCATTGTTATAGCAAAAATTATTTGACATTTACAAACTTCCATGTCTATATGCATTCTTAAAATATGTGGCAGAGTATGTTTGGGAGCAACAGTATTGTCGGCACAGTAGTTTTTGGCCTGTGGAGAAGCTGGCGGGCGGGCCTACTCCGTGTACCTGAGGTGGCACGGTCAGTGTATTTCTTTTGTTTGGGCATTCAGTCCGATAAGCTCCTCGGTGCAGTCAGCGTTATACTATCGTACAAGTGACTAGCTCCTAGAATTCCTCTTGAAAATTCCACCAGCCAAAAACTATTGCGCCGACTATAACAAACCAAAGCTACATTCACAAAGAATGTAAGAGGAGATTAAATTCGAGGAATGTTTGCTACCATTCAGTTGAGAATTGTATGTTCCTGTCTCCTCTCTGTGAATAAAAAAATTAAAGTATGCAAGACCATAATTTTATCTATCACATTCTTAAAGGAGGAATGTGAAGTGAGGGTATATGAAAATACAATGCTGAGGAGGATATTTGGGCTTAAGAGGGAGGAAATAACAGGACAACAGCAGAAAATTGCAATATAAGGAGCTTCATATATTATTATGGTCATAACATGAAGGAGGATGCAATGAATGGGGTATGTAGCATGCTTTAAAGAGAGATTAGAAATGTGCTGTAACTTTTTTTTATTTCAATACTGATATTTACTTATGTATTCATTTCAATTCAAGCATATATTGGCCACCTTTTTATAAGTATTGAGAATTCCAAATGGTATGTGTAAGTGAAATGAAATAATTTACTTTTTTTTTTGGCAGCACATGCGAGTTTTAGAATCTACATAAAAGTTTTGTACTTTGGTTGGTTGCAGGATATTGTTTATTATATGGATTTTTTTGAGTTGGAGTTTAATGTGTGTAAAACACATATAGTGTGGTATATTGTGGGCAACCTATCATGTTTTTTTGTTTCTATTATATGTAGATGTGGTAAAGTACCAGATTTTTTGTTCACAACAATTGAGCTTCCAGAAGGAGTTGCAACTACAGGCAAAGGCTGCTTCCTGCAAGCCTACGTTTGCAGGCCTAAACGAGACTGCAGAGGTGAACTGAATGCTAAGGAAATTTCTGATGGCTTGCCATTCCTCGAGTATGAGTTGCACTGTCTTCTGATCAACAAACTTAAAGTAAAGGGCATGAATTCCATATTTGGTCTGAAGGTAAGGAATATTTCAATTAAAGAATCCTATAATATGAATTATTTTTAGACTAATCATCTTGTTTTTATAGGAGCAAATTTATGATTAATTGTTTCTGCCCCCATAACAACTTGTAAACTAGTTAAAGAGTTTTTGTTTAATGATGAAAGACTCTTGGGAAACAAGCCGCATCAGGTGGCTGAATGGTAAAAGAACCATTTCTTCCACCAACGTTTTGAGAGCCATCTCTGCTCTTATCCTCAGGGCAGCTGCAAAACGAAACTGGTCCTGTGTAGCACGCTATGTGATATTTGGATGGGCTACAAATGTAATGAACACCCAGAAACTGGAGGGAATTTCATAACCACTTGATTAATTATTACATTTGGAACAGGTATCTTTGTCATGAAATTAGTAAGATTTCATACTGGATTTGCAAGTATCTTGTCTGAAAATTCTGTGTTATTTGTGACTTACGTTGTTCTTCTTCGACTGCAGGTACAGTTGTCTATAGGAGAAAAGATGCTGGTTGGTTTGGCAACAGGCACTGCTGTCTTCCTTACGCCACTGCCTATGCCTCCCATACCAAAAGTATCTGCGGGCAACTCTTGGGCTGATGATAAGAAATTGGCTGAGATACAGAAACTTCTGCAAGACACTGTTAAGAAAAATCGAGACATCTATCAGCTTAAACCTCTGATTGTAAGTGGAAGATTTGTGGTTTGTAATTTAATTTATGTGTATGGATCCACTTTTATTCTTTTAAGTTATGTCATTTTTGTAAACACTATCTGGGGCTTATAATATAGAATGAATGATAAGTGGTTTTTAATTTATATTATGCAGTCCTGCAATGGTGGCTTATGCCAATGTGAGTTTGCCTGAATGGAGTTAAGGCATTTGTAGCTGAGTAGACGGATGTCAATATCCTTGCACATGTTCTTTAATTCTCTTTCCTGAGACACTGTTACATCAGATTCTGTGCGATACCATTTGGCACTATATTCAGAAAGAGTGAAGTAATTATAAATTATAATCGATTTCGCGATTATAATCGATTTTTCGAAGGCCTTCGATTTAGTTCCTCATGATCGGCTGCTTATGAAAATCACGGCATCGGGTTTGGACTTGAGGGTAGTCGCATGGGTAAGGGAATTCCTTTTAGGCCGAACGCAGAGAGTTAGGGTAGGAGGGCAATTATCAGAGGAAGTCAGAGTAACGTCAGGTGTACCGCAAGGGAGTGTATTGGGTCCACTTCTATTCCTCGCGTACGTAAATGATATTTGGAGGAACATTGAATCGACT